CTAAGGGCTCGCAATGATTCCATATGGGAGAACCAGTCATCACGAGCCCAGGTCCGAGCAAAGAGTGTAGCCGCCCACAACACCCGTAGCGCCAGCTGAAGCGATCGGCACCGCCAACCATCTACAGCCGGGGGGCATGCATTTGGTGAGGGAACCTCTACAGGTTTGCGAGCCAGTGTGCAACAAATCTGCCGGAGTCGGAGCTGGATCTGTTTGCCTTGAAATCCGCTGACATATTCCAAACGATCAAAGCTCTAATCGCGGTGGAGAACTGATGAGGCAACAAGGCAACGAGGTCATTGAAACGTGGCGCTCAGAAGTGATTCAGCTAGGTGAATAAGAACGACCTCACACGGCCTCACTCCAAATGGTGGTTCATGTGGGGAATAGCCCCCCAACCACCTTATTGCAGGCTGGTGAAATATTATAATTCGCTCAGATTCAGGACTGGTTTCCCAGGAGTGTTGCTTGGCGTTGCCCATTCAACCGCTCAAGTGTGGTCGCCCAGAGGATATCGCAAAGAAGCTTTCTCATTGGCCGGACTGTTTGTGGGAATGATGGCAGGGGCGAGTTGTTTGTTCATCTGCCGTTTACCTGAGAGAAGGAGCCTTTGTAAGCGAAGGGGACTCCGGAGCCAATTCCGGCGTGCGCAGGCTCTCTCAGAGAGCTTGAGGGGCAGTTCGCTTGCCCCGCCAGGTATGTGCTGTGCGACACCGTGCTGGAGCTTTTGCCCAGGCGCGAAAAGAAGCTGGCAGCGGGTTTTCCGCCGGTCCAAGCTACCCAGGGTGACGAGCGGAGGGCCGTTTCTTGATGCCTGGCTCTTGGTTCGAAGAGCGGCAACTTGACGGTGGATTCCCGAATCTGCGACTTTTTTGGCTGTTTGGGATGCAGGCAAGATGCTGCTTGGTGTGCTCAAGGTGGTGTGGTGGGTGCTGGCGCTTGTTTGGCGATGCAATCCGGCTGGTCGAGGTGTTGTTGCAATCTCACATCTCGGGTCTGTGCTGGTGAAATTTGGGACACACTTAGGCTTAGTGGATCCCAGTTCCCACTATGACAGGCATCTAGGCATTTTCCTTTTGGTAGACAAAAGGGGTCGGAAACTCCATGGTTACTCATACCTACCATCGTGGCTTGCCTGGAGTCTTTGGGAGAGCTTAAAGCATTGGATTCCAAGAGAGCTCCTTTGAAGTGACAACGTAGTCATGGGAATCAACCACACTTTGGTATCACAGAAGGCGACTGCAAAACTGAAACCTCGGGTGGGCATAACAAGAGTTTGACACATTGCTAGGTCCGCCAGTGGTGCCCGTTTACCAGTTTCTCTTTTTTTTTGGGGGGGGTCCCCTACTAAAATAGACAAAACCGAAAAAAGGGGTACCCTTATTCTAACCTCTCTGGAGGACCTAGGAGTCCGACATCGGCAATGGGAAATCGCAGCTTGCCTTCTCACCTTCTGGCGAGGTGATCTGCGGAATTCGCCGCGAGAGGCGCGCCTTTGCCTTGCCCGCGGGCGCGAAAGAAAACACCCGACCCTGTGAGGCGATCAGTGTCGACGCCAATTCGCGGGATTTGGGAAGGAGCAAATGAGCAGTTGCCATTTGTACCAACCAGCCAGTTGGGTGGGAGTTGTTTTCTTGTTTTGGGAACGCTTTTGATGGACATCATGTACATGGGGATCTATGCCCACCAGCCTCTTTTGGCGGTGTTCTCCACAGATTCATCGCCACATCTTCGCAGATCGCAGGCCGTGAGGTAGCTCTGAGCACGGCCGGCGGGTTTCACAACTGCGGTTGCCAAGTGGCGTGAAGATGGCGCGCAAGCGCCAGGGGCTTCTCTCAACTGTTCTAGGGGACACTTTCCCATTCTTTCCAGGGATCCTTCTTTTCAGAAAACCATCGGAACCCCAGGGGAAACAGCTGGTTTTTGAAAAGAACGATGGTTGAAAAGAATGGGGAATCAACCCCTAGGACTGTTAGACCTCTTTCTTGAATCACGTTTGACCGCATGTTTGGCACACTAGGTGCATAATTGTTTGTTGGACCATTTGCAGGCTCCAGGATTATCCTTCCCTGGCTTTACGCCCTGTCTGAGCGCATGGGCGGCATCCTGTAGCATAATGCGCGGGGAGACTGGGGGAGACAGTCAGAAAAGCGTCGCGACTTGGGGCATAGAGACCTTTGGACCGCCAGCGGCTGAGCAGTCCCGCCGGCAAATAGGTTGGATCTTCCTAAGCCATCTTAGGGGGGGCAGGTCTGTGGCTGGGGGGGGGGCCCTCCAAAATGGTGGGTCTCCTAGGCTTTTTCTTTAAAACTCGCCCAAAATGGGTACTCCTGAATCAAAGACACACCCATGTAACAGGCCCATGTACATTGTTGCATGCGTTCAAGTTTCGCGCTGCGCCTGCTTGATCACAACTGTCAAGTGCAGGCTTGCACTTTGAACATGTTGCCGGCAACTGCCACGGGCTGTTCAGCTTCGGCAGCAAAGTCTTCAACCAATCAGAGGCTTGGCTTGAAGGTGGGCGTGTCGGCGCCAACCTTAGATCTGCCAGATTCCTAATCCAGGCCAAGATTTCCAGGACTGGATCCGACAGCTTCACTTTGGTGCATTTTGCTTGGATGTTAGGACTTTAACTTTTTGCCAACTAATGGGTTTTCCATTAAGCCACTAAAAGTTAAGCTTTAGCAGGGGAGCAGAAAGCGACCGAGTTCAGTTCTCGACATTTGGTGGACGCACCCGAGACATGCTGCTGCGGCTCAAGCAGTTCGGCCACAAGCAACGTAGGGAACATCGCTGGCCGTCCTTTTAACTTCCCGCCAGGCCGGAAGTCGGGGCGGCTGGAAGAGGGGAGAAGGGGAGCTTTAGCGCTTTGCATGGCGAGTGGTGGGGAAAGCTATTGGGTTTTGACCAGCCAAACACAACTGGCAACTGGCAACTGTCCCATCCATATGTTTTTGTTTGCAGCTCTCATTCCGCCAACTGTCCCACATATGTTTCTTTTGCAGCTCTCATTCCGCCGTGCGACATCTAGACTGACTTGTGATTTGCTGTGCACGGGAGTTGTGATCCTTGGAAACCCCCGTCGGTTCAGGAACGAGGTATCAAGCGCTTGGGGCCATGCGACGTGGGGGGGTCCTGATGCTGAACTTCTTCCTTTTTGGGTAGTTCGCGCATTACCTTTTGGTTGCCACATTTGATCGGGTTTCTCTTTCGGCGATGTTTTCAGGGACATGTAAAGAGGCCTATGGCCTATGATACGTCCATGGCGCTGTTTGTGCTTTTCGAGGTCCGGCCAAGATCGTGTTTGTTTCACAGAACGCGCAAGCAAGGGAACACCAGCGGTCCTTTCGGCCACATCAATTGATCAGCGCCCAAGATTTCTATGGGCTTTTTCTTTTTCTTTTTTTCTCGTGCGGTTCGACCTGGTTTGCTTGGTAGCCCCAGCAGTCAAGGGCTTCTGGTCGCTGAATTGCTGCTGAAACCGGCGGGAGTTTGGAGCTTCAAGCTTGAGGCGTGGGATCGATCGAGTTTTTGAGCCCAAAGGGATCCTGAAAGTCTCCTTCTCCCATGTGCCATACTGAGACTCTGCAGTGTGCCCAGAGTGACCAGGTTCACATCTGCGGCAGGTCATGTAGTTGCTGTTTCCTTTTCCTTGACTTAGTTGCCTTGGCCTTTGGAGCCATGGAATTTGGGGCTCGCCTCACGGGTTGATTGTGGTCAAGGTTCGGGCTTTTGGCAACTGAGTCATGTTGGACCTGCGAATCTTCCCAGTTCCTGAGTGGTTTTGAGCAACCAATGATGCCTGGGCATTGACACCCATGGACGTTTGATCCTTTGCTGGTCTGATGATCTTGCTGCTTTTTCTCAACCTCCGAATCTTCTTTGGAAAGGGCATATGTGCCTGGGACTCGCGCTTTATATTTTTATTGGTCTCCATGTAACTTGTTGCCCTTCGCCATCCTGCTTTTTTCCCCTCCCACATGTGGCGTGTCCAAGCACGTCCATGGCCCGAGGATGTGGTGGCAGGGAGCCTCAGGGTGGCCTTGGCCAGTGAGGAATGGTGGAGGTCAGGAAGTTCAGGATTTTAGGGATAAGAAATATGAATTTTGAAGGATTTAAGGATTTTAGGGATGGTGAATGTAAATCACCAGTAGGAATTTGGACAACCATTCCAAGGGTTCCCAGATCCTTTTGGAGGGAGCTGATGACAACGCGTTTGTGTCTGCGTTTGTGTCTGCGTGCGTGCGTGCGTGCGTGCGTGCGTGCGTGCGTTGCGTGCGTGCGTGCGTGCGTGCGTGCGTGCGTGCGTGCGTGCGTGGGTGGGTGGGTGGGTGGGTGGGTGGGTGGGTGGGTGGGTGGGTGGGTGGGTGGGTGTGTGTGTGTGTAACATTCAGGTTCAGGCATGGAGTGGGGGCATCATTGTTGGAGCATCCTTGAGAGATACGATGTCAGCATGGGCAATGCGTGCATCTTCTTTTGCGGCTTGGTTGCTACAGCAGGACGACAAGCAACATCCTGCACGTACACTTTCAACATCGGACATTGACAGGAGACTATAGGTAAGAAAGAGCAGGAGAGTGAAATGCTTTGATGGATGAACAGATTGATGAAGGAGCCTTTTTTTGACGCAGTTTGATGTCAGACTCCTGCGAAACTTGGTGCTGGTGTACTCGAGTGGGGATCAGGTTAGATCCCCAGGGGTTGGGGATTGTCTTTGTATCTTCCGCCTTCGCTGTTTTGAAACAGATTACGTGACATGTGGGTGTGTCTTGTTATTAGGTCGGACCCCCCCCCAAAAAAAAAAACAAACAAGGAAACAATGGGGTTTTCCTATTGGCGTCTGCCAAGACGAAGGGTTTTACTTGTTGGTTTCCCCTTTATCACCCCCCCCCCAAAAAAAAAAACAAGAAATACGGGAGGCCCTCCAAAGAAAAGTCGGCGGGGATTTTTTTTCCCTCTCCTCGAGCGCCTCGAGGGCTCCGTGGCCACAGCACGGCTACATGGTACAGGCGAGGGACCCGGACCCGCTTCGGCCGGTCCGGTCGGGCGCGCGGAGCGCTCGAAAACGCGGCCGCAACTGGCAGCCTCCAGTGGCCGGAAAGGAAACATAAAGCAAAAATCTAGGTCCCTTAGCCAGGTGCCAAGTTTGACCGTTTCCTTGTTTGGAGGGAGGGTTCCCCTGCTAACATAGACTGGAAAGAAAAGGGTACCCTTATTCTAACCTCTCTACTGGAGGACCTAGATATGATTTCCGGGCTGGCCTTTCGGCACCTTTCTTTGCCAAAGAAAGCGATGGCCGAGATCCGATCCGCGCTTCGGCTCCTCGTCCTTGCGAGCGTTTTGTTTTTCTTCTTTGTGGTTTCTCTTTTTTTTGTTTTTCTTCTTTTTTGTTTTGTTTCTCTCTGGAAAAGGTGGGGTGGGGTGCTCCCGGCAAATGGAAGCTTCGCCGATTTGTTGAGAGCTGCGAAGCCGCCAGCGCCGACTCGCCGCGACTCGCCACGTCACCTTGGCGCCGGTTGAAGCATGGGTCAAAATCCCGGTTACACCCAGTGAATATCTCCATCCAACCCTTGATCTTCCAGGACCCGGGAAAAAGCAGACCTTTGAGCGAATTTCCACAAGCCAAGATCAAAATCAAGAAGGAGCCTGGTTTTGCGGGTCCTTGGAAGACCAAGGCAACCACTAAAATGGGTTCTAAACGCGGTGAATTCACCGAAAGCCAAAATGGGATCCCAAAACAGTTTTGACAATCACAGCCAAATGGCTTGTCAAGTTTGAGATATGCCGAGGTGGGATCCCAGGAAGATCAAGTGATCCGCGCCGCAAAAGGTGTCGTCCCACTTGAATCCACAGAGTTTCAGGGGGATTGTCATCCGTGACGCAAAGGGGGTTGTCCTACTTTTCAGCTTTCAGTCCGCCTCAGGGATTGATAGGATTCAAACCCAGCCACCCAACCCCCCGTCCGCATTGCGCTGCCAGAATCAATGGTGGGGCCCACAACAGAAGGCGCGGAAGATGGGGGCGCGGCGACGGGGAATTCATGCCCACAGAGCACAGTTTCCGTGAATCTTAGGGTTTAGGTATCTTGCTTTTGTCCTGCAACCAGTCACAGCACTACATGTGTATGAATCTGAAAAGCATTTACATGTCCTACCATCTTGGTTTGGGGGTTGCCCACGGGAATTTCTGGCATGAAGTTGTTGTTGCATAAGTCAGACAGGGTGTTGATAAGCCCCATAGCGACCGACACTGGAGGGTAGATCGGAGTTGTCCAAACCCTAGGAGCCCAAGACCCCAAATACAAAGGCCCACGCCTGGCCTTTTGAGCGGTCCCTACCCCCCCAAAAAAAAAGAAGGAAAGAAAAGAACACGGGACGATCAGTGACTGTCTTCATGGTTCATGGCCCTCAGATTTGGTGGCAGCCTAAAGGTTTTGGCTTTGTTCCCGTGTGGCCATGAATCCGCCGTCTTGTCCTTCTCCATTTGCGGTGAATGTATGGTATATGTATGTGTCTTTGAGGGTGCCCAGGAAAGCCTTTGGTGTAATGGGGCGTTTTCCGTCTCTGCAGAGAATCAATCCGCCGCGTGGAAGATCCGTGGCGCCACTTTCCCAGCTGCCCCACCCCACCCCACCCCACCCCACCCATCCCCCACCAACTCCGTGGCTCCCAGCTGCCACTTTCCCAGCCAGGGTGGAGGGAAGAGCCACAGCAAGAACGAGGAGGAGCCCAAGGCAGGCGAGAGCTCGAGCTCGGCTTTGGAGCTGGCGAGGCCGGGGTGCCGGGCGAAACGCGCCGGGAGAAACCGAGCCGTGGGGCTCGGCTCGGGAAGTCGGGGGAAAAATCCGAGTGGCTCGGATCTGTCGGAAAGATCTCCGGGTGAAGCCCGGAAAACACCCAGGAAGGTGTTGAGACGGCCGTTTTTCGAGCTCCATCTTTTACTTTTTAGTTTGATGGGTCCCAAGAGCTTCAAGGTAGGAGGGTCCCCCAATAAAAACCCCTGCCCCTTCATGCGGGGGGGGGGGGGTGGGGGGGGGGTGAGGGGGGGGGGTTGGGGGAAGGCTCGGGATGGGGCTCCGTGCCAGGAAGCCGTATCGACAGAGCATCGACGAGCTGATCAGAAATACCGCGCCTCGGCCAGGGAAGGGCGCGGCTCAGCTTGGGTATTGGCCGGAAGGGTTCACTTGTGCACTATTCAAGAGCAAAACAAAAAGTGAAAAAAGAGAGAGGGAGAGAGAAGGAAAGAGAGAGAGAGAGAGAGAGACAGAGAGAGAGAGAGACAGAGAGATAGAGAGACAGGGAGAGAGAGAGACAGAGAGAGAGAGAGAGAGACAGAGAGAGAGAGAGAGAGAGAGAGACAGAGACATAGAGAGACAGGGAGAGAGAGAGAGACAGAGAGAGAGGGGGGGGAGAGAGAAAAAGAGAGAGAGGGGGGGGAGAGAGAGAGAGAGAGAGAGAGAGAGAGAGAGAGAGAGAGAGAGAGAGAGAGAGAGAGAGAGAGAGAGAGAGAGAGAGAGAGAGAGAGAGAGAGAGAGAGAGAGAGAGAGAGAGAGAGAGAGAGAGAGAGAGAGAGAGAGAGAGAGAGAGAGAGAGAGAGAGAGAGAGAGAGAGAGAGAGAGAGAGAGAGAGAAAAAGAGAGAGAGAGACACAGAGAGAGAGAGAGAGAGAGATAGAGAGAGAGAGAGAGAGAGAGGGGAGAGGAGAGAGAGAGAAAAGAGAGAGAGAGACACAGAGAGAGAGAGAGAGAGAGATAGAGAGAGAGAGAGAGAGAGAGGGGGGGAGAGAGAGAAAAAGAGAGAGAGAGAGACAGAGAGAGAGACAGGGAGAGAGAGACAGAGAGAGAGAGACAGGGAGAGAGAGAGAGAGAGAGACAGAGAGAGAGAGAGAGAGAGACAGAGAGAGAAAGAGAGAGAGAGAGAGAGAGAGAGAGAGAAAGAGGAAAGAGAGACAGAGATACACAGAGAAACAGAGACACAGATACAGAGAGAGAAACAAATGCTCCAAAGAGTCACTAATAGACAAATAGTGGCTATTAGCGGAAGGATCCGGTCTCTCGAATGGACCGGATCTCCCATCCTGAAACACGACATTCAGGCGTTTTTTTTGGGGGAGCTCCCCCATTTTGAGAGGTCGCCATTTATCATCAAGGTACCTGCTCGGGTGACTAAGTTACTGGTAGATGGTCAAGGACACGAAGAGGGCCCACACGCCTCGAATCAAAGTGGGGCCCAACTTTTGCCAATCCTGGGGAAACCTTCTCTTGCCGGTGGTCAGTAGGGAATGAGAAATGGAATGACCCTTCCAAACCATCCAACTGGTGGTTTCCATTATTCGGGGAAAGCAACTGGGTTCATTCCATGTCTCATTTCATACCGATTCGCAGCAGCAAGCTTTGAGGAAAAACCACGGAAGCTGGACGCTTCAGCGGCGCCTTTAGGTCCTTTGCCGAAACGACTTCGACCACAAGATCCTCCTGCTATTGGATGCGCTTTGGGAGCGGAACAAGCTGCAGGAGGCCCAAATGGCAGGGATGGACTCGCCGGGATATCAACCTGCCATTGTTTTTTTCATGTGTTGGGGTTCAAGGCAAACCTATTCACCAGACCCGGACACATCTAGCTCACCTCCATACGATTCCATCCCGGCTGACATCCACCTCGAAATATATCTCCGGATCTGCACATGCTCTTGTTCTGAAGTCAAGCGAGCCTGGACTTGTCGGGAAAAATCCCCCCAATCAGTCGGGAGAATGGATTTGGGTCACCAGGAAGGGCACGTATGACTCGGGGTGCTTTGGGGGCGGGGCCTGGAATCTGGGCGTTTCTCAAAATGCTGGACGCGCGTTTGGCTGGCATTTAACGGGACACCACAAGGAAGCCATCAGTCCGCCACCCCCATTCCGCCCCCCCCCTTCCCGGCCCAATTTGTTTCGAGCCCTTCACTGGGAATGATAGATGCAGCTTCAAAGAGGTCGGCGGGGCTGCAGCTGTCGCCGCAGGCGTGCAATCACGTGAAGAAGGTGGTGGAGGTCCTTCCGAGGGACAAGGTAACCCACTGGAGAGGCGATCTTATTCGATCGATCGATCGAGGTCTTTTGTCGAGGGCGGGGGGGGGGGGATGGATTATTTTTCGGCGGTGGCGTAGTCGCAAAGTTTCCAGCTAGGAAACATTTAAAACGGCCGTGTACACCCAACCAATAGGAGTATTTTCATCCAGCTCTGTTAGCTGACGAACCCAACTGTTCATGATTAGTAGACTTGACAGCTATTGGGCCGAGGAGATGTTTGCGAGAGCACTTGCAGCCATGGCTCAAGTGCAAGCGGCTTTTCGCTTGCTCTATGGGCATGAAAAAATGTCGGCAGAGAACCGGAGGTCAAGGTGAAGCTTTTTCAATCGACCTAAAGCACCTGATCTAATCGACAACAGACGGCTAGCTCTATCGGCTTTAAAGCCGCCGGCTTTTCCTGTGCGCAAAGAATCGCAAGCACGGGTTCGCTGGTGGAGCCGTTCGAAAAGGAGCTGGGAATCCAAGAGGGAGCTGTTGAAGAGGGGGAGCCTTTCGGAGCGGATCGCAGCTTTCTGTGAGGACAACATCAAAACACAGGTTTTTGTTTTTTTCCTGTGGGGTTCCAAGATTCTGGACCAGACAGTAGTTCTGGTTTTCCTTGATGGTTTTCGTTGTTTTTTCTCTCCAAGATTATGAACCAGAGAGTGGTTCTCGGCTTCAGGCTACCTACACAAGCTGCTCCGCAACTTCGACGAGGATGCGTACCATGATGTCAAGGCCGGGCTGCTGAGCCCCGGCGGAAGCCAAACACTGCAATTTTTTTAGCATGCGACCCGAATCCATTGCTTTTATATGTTTTGTGCGGGGTTTCTATGCGTCTCTCGTTGTATGACCACACCGATGGTTGGCTTTGGTTTGTTTTTCGCAGCCTCACGTTGCGCAATGTCAGCTCAGCACAGTACTCAGTTGCGTGTGATTGCACGAGAGCATTGCACTTGCCGACCAATCACCGACATGTCAAACCGTTTTCAATCCATTTCGGTACACGTTTCCTGTACGTCGCATGGGAGTGGACATGAAGCTGTCCTATGCTTCAGCGCCCCGCAGAAGCTGGCCTAGGTGCAAATTGGGATTTGTGAATCAGACCCTCGCTGAAGAAATTCCGTTGGTCTGAGGACACCGAGAGCCAGCTTCACAAAGCAGTGACTGTCAAACTGGTGCCTGCAAGGGTGGTGCTTCTGGAATCTGGCAGGGACTCCTTTCCTTATGGCGTCACATTGATCTTCTTGCGATGTTAGCAAAACACCCAGGATTCATGTTGATTTCCTTGCCAAAGGCTTCCAAAGTCTATGATACTGTAGATGGTACATTGTCTGTTGGGTATTTACAGAGGAATCGAGTCATTCCTGGGTTTCCGAACCATCAGTAGCACGGCTTGGTTGAGTGAAGTGTAGCCCAACCCCCATTCGTCCGATGAAAAGTCTCAGGCCGCTTTTGGCCTCAAGCCCCGCAGATTTTTGGGTTCGAGGGCGCCTCTCCTCAGGGCACCCTCGCAACCGCAAATGCGGAGAAGCTCCCATGGATCAAAGAGGAGCCTTGGGGAGGGAAACGTGGAAGACGCACAGGACACATGCAGTTCAGTGGAAGAGGTTTCGTCAAAGAAAAGGGCTAGCTCAGACATGTGATTGGCGATGTTGAAGGGAACCCACGGGGACATTCTGCCCAGCAGAAGGTTTTGTTTGCACACTGCCTGACTGGCTGTTTCTGGATTTGAACATGGGAAGCGTTTAGAGGGGCCCTCCAAATGGGCGCGCCTTGGTTTTTGAGGGTATCCCTTTTTGGTCTGTTCCGAGGAACACCAAAAGCAACACCGCGTTTTTTTTTTTGGGGGGGGGGGTCCGTAAAAAAAAAGAAACAAAAAGACAGACCCAAATGAGTTGGCTGTCACTCATGTTAGCTGTCGCTCGAACGTGCGAATTCTTAGGGGCTTAGGCATCTCACGCCAGGATCGTGGATTCTTGAACCGCATCAAGCCCAGGCTAGTGTAGTGACTCGCTCTAACTTCATGAGTTTCGGGAAGACCATGTTAGTGGTACACAAGTTTAGACTTTTGTTGGCCAATCCACTCAGGAAGTCAGTTGATCACCCGTCTTTGGCGAACAAGTATTGCACATTCTACACGACCCCTGGCACCCATGGCCCCTCAAAGTGATTTGCCGAGCAGCCGAATATTTTTCGAGTGGGATAAAAGTCGACTCAGGCTTCTTCAATTGGTTGTGTCTTTTTTGATGGTACCCCCCTTCTTGGTGGTTTTGGAGGAACACCAAAAGGAGAACCACTTTTTTTTTTTGGGGGGGGTCCCTGAAAAAGACCCACCCAACTTGAAGCCGTGCCCAGACTGTTCATGATTCCAGGGGACAACCAAAAGGGTTCCCTAAAACCGGAGGATTTCTCAAGAGGTGGCCCCACAAAGGCTGTGGCTCAAACAAAATAAATCCCCCCAAAATGGCACCTGGTACATGGGAGCAAATGCTGAAACCTGCGTAACCCCAGCTGTTTCATTTTGTTCGCCACACCCAAAGGAACTGAACGGGGGTTCATGCATAAGAAGGAACTAGGTAGTCCCGAAAGCCCAGCAAACCCCGCAGGAGCCTCCCAACGGCGAGAAGCTCCGTGTGTGCGCGGCAGCCAGAACCTCGGTTGTGTCCGGGCCGTTCCCAAGTGGAAGGCGTTCGCTGTTCTTGGATCAAGCTGTTCGGCGTCGGTTCTTTCTTTTTTTTCTCCGGTTCTGTCCATTTGTTCGGGGGTCTGCAAGAGAAAGCAAGGTTTGTTGCAAGCTCATAAAAAGGGTTACAATTTTCTTCAAAAGTGGCTGCCCCAAAACTGATGTGGCTGAGTCTGTGCTGAGTGACTCATGCCAAGGGTAGTTGAGGTTCTGGCAGGGATTTGTTGTGCTGTACCAGTGAAAACTATGAACATGAGCATCACGCGTCAAACAAGAAGGGTGAGTCGCAGGAGACAGTCCCCTTTTTGAACCTCGAACCCAGGCTGAAGGCGGTCTCATGCCATGTGAAATGCGGGGTTTGAGCTATGCCTCAGCTCCTGAAACCCGGCTTCCTACTTCCCGCTCACCTCAGCTGTTTGTTGGTGAAGAAAGCTATGGGCCAACGGTCTGGGATCTTTGGAAGCAAGAACTCACTCCCGTTGGGCTAAGAGCAACTTTCAAGGTCCACGGTAGCAAGCACACGGAACTCCCTCCATGTTCCCCCTTTCGCCCCTCCCAAAGTGGGCAATTTTCTGTTGGACCACGGTCAAACGCTCGACTTTTCGACTTGGGGGGACATCCAGACCAAGAGTTGCCGTCGCCGTCGCTTCCGGCTTCGCCGCGCGCCGAAGCGCCGGAGCGCCGGACGCCGTTTTCCGGGGGGAAACAAAAAACCCGAAACCCGACGCCAGGAGTTTCAGCCGGGCCAGTTGGCCTGGATCGGCGCCATCGGCAAGTCGGACTACGCCGCGGTGGCCACCCACAGGACGGAAACGCGAGCCGCGGGACGGGAAGCAGCGGCGGGCGGGGAAGAGGGTCTTGCTGGTTGTGGGGAGCAGAATGGGGGGTGGTGAAATGGGACCAAGAAGCCTTTCTGCTTTTTTTGGGGGGGAAGGGGGGGATCGTGCCGGGCGTTTTCCGGGGCCCCCTTGTTGCAGATTGAAGGACCACTACAAGTTGAAGGGGGTGAAAAAAATCCAACTCCGAAAAAAACGAGTCTCTTGTGGTCCAACTCCGAAAACCGGAGAGACGAGTCCGCCCCAAGGTTTGGGTCCAAATGCGCCGCTGGGTTTTTTCGACTTTCGGCGTCGCGGAGGCTCCACGCAGACGCGCCAGAGTTCAACCCGAACCAGCCGGCCTGGGCTCCGCAAGCTCGGGTGGGAGAGGCGAGTCGGGTGAGAGGGAACCGCAGCAAAAGGGAAGCTCGAGGATTTGACATAGACCCATGCCGTTTTTGCCAAAGGTCTCCTTGTTCTCGGTTCTGAAGGTGAGCAAGTCGACTCATGATGTTGGTTGGTCTTTGGATCGACTGCCAGCCAACCACCGTTCAGGGCTCCCTGCGGGGAACACCCAGACGGTTTCTTTCAGGTCTTCGAATGGTTTGAGAGAGTGGTTTTTGGATCTTCAATCCCACTGGCTGTTCCCTTTCGCCTCAAACTGGGACCCTTGAAAAAGACGCCTTCACCGCCGGCATGCAGCCGCTGAGTTGGGGGTCTTGCCCGGACAATTTTCGGAGGGGGTTCCAGAAGTGGAAGGGTTGTGGGGGTTGCTGTTGGGGAAGCTCTTTGGGCTGAAATGTCTTGCTGCCGTGGCGGCTGTAAAGTGGGGAGCCGTGTCAGAACGCGCCTTTGAAGCTTGCTGACCCGACTGCCCCTTCCAGGCATGCATATGTACAGGAGAGATTGGCACACTGTTGTTTGGGTTGCGAAAAAGCAAGCGTGGGCTCCTTTCAATCCACATGCTCCACCTAAACAGTCACAGTTTCTGCCTTCAAAGTCTGGAGTACTGTTTTTCATCCACATTAGCGAGTTCGCCGAGTTGTTTGTCTCAGGCTTGTCTCTCAAAATCCCCCAGCCCCCAAGCCCTTCAAGTTCCCGTAGGTCTCCAAAGAACCGAGACAGCCACTTAAGTGGGTTTCTTCACGCAAGAAGCCGAATTCTCATTCTCGGCGGACCTGCAGGTTTGAGAGAACTCACAAAGGACAGGTGTCTTTTCGGTGAGCTTGGCTAGTAGATTCCAGGGGTGGTTCTACCCCTACGTACCCCCAAGGGGCAAATGAACCCCCTGAGAGGCCTGATGTTTATACCATATCCTCTCCCGAAAAGGGTTATTTATTTATTTTTTTTTTAAAAAAAATAAATATTTTGAGTGGGTTGGAACCCAGGGAAGCCAAGAACAAGGTATGTACCAAGCCACCTGATGGGCAACTGACACCCATGTTTTTTTCTTCTTCCCCAGAATTTGTTAAGGTTAGGAGAAACCACCTACCAGCTGGTGCTGGATTTCGTCCCCCTTTTCCTAACCGCCATTGTTTATCTGAGGACTTTCATCGTCTAAACTGGGTCAATCATTGTTGTCATGGGGTTAGATGAAGCCAACTTGGAGTCAGTCTTGACATCCCAGGTGTTCCATTCTTGACTGCTATTGGGCAACGGATCTTTAGACTTTCACTTTTTGGTTGACATCTTCTAGGGTTTTCCACTAAACCCCCAAAAAGTGTGTTTTTTTGCAGAAGGGTCAACAGCAACCAAGCATTGTGGTGGGGCATGTTGCATGCCACTCAGCCACTGTGGTTGATGTTTCAAAATCGACTTGTTTCCATTTGCTTTAATTGAAGTTTCTGTTTTTCTTTTTTGGGTTTAAAGGGACTCTATCACTACTTGACATGTTTTTGTTTTTTGGTCTTTTTGAGGGTGAGAAAGCAAGTGGAAGCTTGCTGTAACTTCGTCCCTTTGAAAAATCAACCTCGATGGCTCCAGAGCAATCCATGCCAATCTTCCTCTGACCAAAGGATTTGGCGCGATTTCGATCTCAGCAGTTGCTTTGGTGCATTTTCCTTAGATGTTAGGACTTTAACTTTTTGCCAACTAATGGGTTTTCCATTAAACCATTAAAATATTAAACTTTTAGCAGGGGAGCAGAAAGCATCCGAGGTTTGCCATGGCAACTTGAACTGAAGCCCACCAAAACATGAACGATGCCTTCATTGTTCTAGTTCTTGGCTCTGCTTGCTTCGTTGGTTATGGTCATGCTTCAGGGTGTTCCAGCGTTTCGCCCAACTTGGCACGTTGTTTGGAAAATACATTTATCTAGACTAACCTGGAAGCTTCCAGAAGGCCTCTGTAAATGGAACCAAGTCTTCCATTTCAGGGTCCCTTTGGAGCTTCCATGTTTTCTTTGGGGGCGCTTCGGCCGAGTCGGCTGAGTCACGAATCCGTCAACATCCGTCAGGTGGAGGGCTGAGTCGGCGTCTCGAATTGCATCTTATCGGCACTCTGGACGATGGCCAGCGGTCGGCCCAGCTTTTTTGGAGCGCGGCTTCACAGGCCCAGTTCAGGTCCCTTCCATGAGAGACGCCAAACGGGGCAATCAGCAGTTTATCTCGAGTGAACATGTGTCGGGGGGGAAAAAAAAAAAACGGGGTAAACCCCGGCTTTCCGAAAAAGCTTTGGATCCGCCATGAGGAAGGAAGTCACTTTGGGCATGTCTTTCTTTTTTTCGAGGGTACCCCCCAGCCCATTAGCTTGGTTTTGAAGGAAAGCCAAAAGGAATGCCAATCCCCCCCAAGAAACGAGGAGCCACCCATATCAGGCTGGCATGTAAGCAAAAGAGCAGGGGGCGAGCAAATCAAGTGGCCAATTTCGGGGATTGGATCAAGCAGGTGGCGATTCGATTCGGCCGTTTTCTTGGACCTGTGGATGGTTGCGAAATCCGATTTCGTTCTCACTGTTCGGGACCTGGTTTCGGATTTCAAAGGGGACAGCGAAACCGACCATTTTCCCGGGTACCCTCAAACAAAAGACTGACCCATACTGTGGATGGACGAAATCCTGCACCACGTGGAAACCATGGGAAACCATTATTCATTGGTATTTACAGGGGATTCATCATTCCGGGGTTTCTTAGGTGGTGCAACCCAGCTGAAAGCTATGGGGTGAATAGGCCCAGATCGGTGATAAGGGGTGGTCGGGGCAGTAGGGAGGGTTCCGGAGGGTTCCGGTCGGAAGCCAACCATTTTCTAAAAACAGACCGACCTCAGATGTTGCCATGTGAATGTGTCATGGGATTTGAGACTTTGAAGCAGCCATGAGGGTGCTGTTGCCAGAACTGGGCAGAAGCCGGCTCCGGGTACTTGTTCTTCTCCCTGTTTTCCCCTGTTTTGCTCTGTTAGGATGATCCTGGCATGTCCCCTTCTAGAGGGGAGGTCCCGCGTGCCTTGTGTACACATGTGGAGCCCGACTTTAAAGACAGTCCACAAGATCTACAAACAATCAGACATTTGCTGCCGAGTCAGAAAGAGGCGTTGCGCTTGCTTTGTCGCGCGGGTGCGGCTTGAGTTGCGTGACGAAATGTGTTCCTGGCGGGAAATGTTGGATGCTTCAGTCCTCGAGGTGTTGGGTTTTGGGCAAGAGACTTTGTCCATCAAATAACATTTCAAGGAATGGCTCCACTGTTCAGCAGACGGCAGGGTACCCTCTTTGAGTGCTTTGATTAAACAAAACATGCTATGGTGGGATGTCAAATGTTTGACTTTGTCGAGTTCACATATTCACGAGCAGACCGCCCGGTTCTTTGTTGCATGACGCAAGTAAGCCAAGCGACTCTTCAAGGAACCAGGACGTGGATCATCTTTTTTGGAACAGCTCCCACCTTGCACCCCATTTCAGACACCTGGCAGTGAAACATAGACGTCCTATGGTGCGATGAGGGCCCAGAGTGCCTTTTGTTTTTTTCTTCTCCTGATCTGCAGGCAGCCCGGGCGGTCAAATATCACGATCGCTGGTTGCAGAGATGAGTTTGATACGATCAAAGCAAGAACAAAGAATTCCGCAGCCACAGTTGGGACACATAGTGCTGATTGCTTTCTCTTTTTGCCACTTCTTGAACGCCTAGATCGCTTGCATCTACACCTACACATCTCTTGCTTGTATAAATCAACTTTGCAAAATAACGAAACAGACCCTGGCTTCCCTAGGCAGATGGGCTTGAGCAATGATATCAACCTTCGCAGATGTGTTTGCGGGTTCGCAAAGAACAGCGCCTTTTTGCGCCCGGCCGTTTTGGGCGCACACATTTTGGGGTCTGACGTGTCTTTTGGTTGCACCCTGTCAGCCACGAGCCACGAGGAGTTTTTGCTCAAGCCGCTAGGCCGAGGCTTGTCATGTGACAAGCCTTGCAAGAGGGTCTCCAACTCCTTCCTTTTGTTCAGGAGTTGGTCAAGGCTGTTGCCAGGACTGCCCAGAAAAAGGACGGGGCACTTTCCTACAATTCCTGTCGGCGAGCAAGAAGTCGGCGAGTTCCAGCCGCCCCACCCGGGATAAGTTTGCTTGGTACATGCCCCTTTCACATTTTGACCATGGCAGCGAGCCCCATGATCCAACGCTTCACCCGCTTGCCCGAAGGGCACACTACGAGCATCCGCACAAAACCTGCTGAAACCTCTGACTAACATACTCCTTCACCCTTTGGTTTAGGGTTTAGGGTAAACCCATGGAGCAGCCAATACTCCAACACAGTTGGTTTTTCCACCTTTTAGCTCCAACATTTGGGTTTACCCTTTTCTGGCCACCACTTTCACTAAAGATCCTGAAAGACGATCACCTTTTCCTCTTCTATTTCCTTGGTGGCTCCCAGCCATCCGGTTCCTTAGCTTTTTCTCCTTTTAGGGTTTTTAGTGGCAGTTTCCGAATTTCACCCACAACAAGTTTTCGTCACCTTGCTGGGGGATCTGAAGGCAGCCGGCGCGGCCAAAGCGCCCGGCGCCCGGCGGCGAAACGTTTCGGCGCGGGCAAAGCCATGCCGTCCCGCTCCAGGGAGCGGTCGCGCTCGCGGCGGGAGAGATACGAGCGGAGGAGCTCGGAGCGCGGCTGGGACGAAGGAGATAGTGGGCGGACCCACGTGGCGGTGGGTCAAAAATATGTACCCAAAATGGCGCAAGCCCTGGTAAATGGACACTTGGACGATTCAATTAACCTGCGGTCCATTTCCTGGTGGTTTGATTTTGACCCACACCCATGTGTTTAAGAATATGTTTTGTTTTTCCCTGTTGGTTTTAAGAGGAATCGAGTCACTGCTGGAAATATATTATTTGTTTCCAGGGGGCTTAAGCAAATGGAAGGTATGGGTCGAAATGAAACCACCAACCGCAGGTGTTTTTTTCTTCTCCATGTTTAACCACCTACCAGAGGGTGTTGCAGACACACTTGCCCCGGGGTTACCCTTTTGGGCAAAGCAACCACCCCTGGGTTTAAGTTTATCTTAAGCCTTGGGGTGGCCAAAGAATGGGTCAAACTTACACCAGGAATTGGACCGCAAGTTTCCTTCCATGCACGAAGGGCAATCCATGTTGGATTTTTTTTTATATATTTTTTCCCACAGCCGCAGCTTTTTTTTTGTCAGCTTGGTGTAAAGACCTGGACCTTTCGGTCCCTTAAAACTGATGGATTCTGGGGTATCTCCAAACTGGGTTGCCTCTGAAATGGGGTGTTCCCCCCCCCAAAAAAAAAAGAATCACAAAAGAGGTAGCAGGATTTCTTCTAATATGGGCCACCCCTTTTGCAACATCCACCGGGGGGGGGAAGATTTTCGTGGTCCACAGTCCTTCCCAACCCCAGGATGAGCACGCTTTTCTTCGATGGCCCTTGGGTGATTTGCACGGAGCGTGAGATGTCAGAAAGCACACGGCCACATGGGGTGTCTTGTTGGCTGGGTCAGCGTACGACCATTTGTCGGGCTTTGTATCCATGGGATCAATGAGGATGCAGGGTCGGTTCGTGTGTCGTGGCTTCCTCGACAGCCTTTTTGGTAATTATGAACTGACTAGTTGAGAATATGCATGGAGGTTCCTTCATGAACCCCACTCCTTTTTAGGTATCATGTCAACCCTTTCCTCAAGAAGGAGGTGTTTACCCTGAAAAGCCAGGTTTCTCGAACAAAATACACCCGGAAAAGGCGGGCATTCGGAGCAGGGGGGAGCAGACCTTGTCCACTGAGGCTCCGACCGCCATGATCGCCGGGACCGGGACCGGGACCGGGACCGGCGCCACCGCTCCCGGGACAGGGACCGGGACCGGGAGCGGTCGGACCGGTCGGACCGGTCGTCCGAGCGGTCGCGGGAGAGATCCGAGAAGGAGGTGAAGCGGAGGATTTGCATGCACTGGGAGAAGGGGCATTGCTCCAAGGGCAGCTCCTGCACCTTCGCGCACGGGGCGCAAGAGCTGCATTCCGTGCAGGAGGGGCGAGGGACTCGACGGATCGGACGGGTTTTCTTTTTTTTGAAGCCGCCTCTTTTTGGCGGCGGAACAAATTGTCGGGTGTGTGTGTGTGTGTGTGTGGATATTTTTTAAACGGCAAGCGTCCCGTGACTGAAGCAGATGTGGTGCGGATAGCGTGGCACATTGTGAGATAAGCTTGGGATGGAGTTTTGGAATTTAATCGAATGAAGATGCTCATGGAACGCAACAGCGAGTTCTATCCTGTCTAGTAGAACTATTTGCTATTTGTTTTGCCTGCTTTGCAGTGTGATATTCAAGAACAAGGTGTCCTTGTTGCTGTACTTCTTACCATCTTGTTGCCATTCTCCTCCACAGTCCTTGTCATCCGTGCTGGTTGGTGCTTTCTTTTTGTGTGGTCTGTTGTGGTAGCTGCGTTAGCGGTTCGGTGATGATCGCCGTTGTTGTTGCCTTCGGTCTTCGGTGCCTTCAGCGGAGTCGTGAAACGTTGACGTTCTCGTTGCGATTGCAGTTGTCAAAACGATCTTGCCATTCTCGTTGTGGTGGCCACTGGTTGTAGTCCTTAAATGTGGTTGTTTTTGTCGGAAGGGTGGTGGCGGTGTGTTTGACCTGCTCTCGTTCTTATTTGCTGATGCTGTTGCTCTTCTATTCATTGCCTGTTGTTATTGATACTGGCCACGGACGAAATCCTGCACCACTTCAGAAACCCTGGTATGATGATTCCCCTAGCAATACCAACACGCCATGGCTTCCCACGGATTGCAACCGTCCACAGTATTGTCGCTTTTCGTGCTATCGTCTGGTTCCTAACATGTGGTTGGTGGGCTCCTCACCGTATTTTACCAGGCCTACCCAGCATAGTTAGAACAGGTCTGAGCATCCATGGGGATACGTGGAACCCTTGTGGAGAGCATCGAAGAGTGCCATGACTGACAAAAGAGCCTGGGCGAAAACCATATCACCCTCCCCCTGGGGACGCTTTGATCTCAGACATAGTCAAGCAGCTTATAGCGGAACATTTTCGGTATTCTCACGCCCCTTTCTAAGGCATTCCGAACATTCTCCGCAGTTGCTTTTTGCATGGTAGCGCCAAGACATGATTTGTTGTCTAACCCCGAATGGTCAAACTGGGCAAATGGATTGTAACCGGCACAACCAATGCTCTTGTTTGCGTGCTTTTGTGATTGTGTTGCTTGTTCGCTCGCTCGCTCGCTTGCTGGCTGGCTTGTTAGCTTTATTGCTTGCTTGCTTGCTTGCCTACTTGTTTGCCTGTTGGCTTGCTTTGCTTTGTCTTGCCTTGCTGGCTTGTTCAAGCCTCGCTTGCCTTCTGCACGTTGCGAGCCTGGTGTTTTCCCCTCTAGGTCCCCCAGTAGTGCCCTTTTACCAACTTCTTTGCGGGAGGGTTCCCCTACGAAAACAGACCGCAGAAAAAAGATCGGGTACCCTTATTCTGACCTCGCTACTGGAGGACGCTCCGAGGGTTTTTGTATTACACCTTGGCATTACACCCTTGGGAAATGACCCAGAATGGTTCAAAATAACACGATTTTCTCCGGACATGTGCCTAAATGGGGTCAATACCCGGGTGTATCTTCCCAGGGTGTAATACCAAAACCCTCAGAGCTAGCCACTTAGCCCTGTTTTCCGGTCTTAAACTTCGCATCCGAGAGTTGTCGCATTTGTCGGGTGCGAGGAGGGCACCTGGAAGACCGTGCTGTGCAAACACTTCACGGAGGGCAACTGCAGCAGAGGCGCCAACTGCTCCTTCGCCCACGGGGAGAAAGAGCTCAGAGCGCCTCGGGAAGTGAAATGCGTGGTCGTTTTGTGTGTAGGCCAAGATGTGGGCCAAGATCCTGTGGGTGGCCAGCTGGAAGCTGGTTTATCCCAGACTAAGTGGTGCAGGTGGTGCATGTCCCTCCATATCAGCACGGGCTAGGAGAACCCATACAATCAGGTTGGTAGCAACTGGCCAGATTCCGACAGGGGGCCCACTTCAATTTGTCGCATCCTTCGCAACCATGCCCGCAACAGCAACATGGCTCTAGAGTGCTCGTAAACAAAAGGCTGCATCAATCATGTTGCGAAAGATTCGTGAAATCAGCATCCTGTCAAGTGGCCGGAATAAATTTGATAAATAATATTGATCTGCGCCCGTATATGCATATGTTGAATGCATGGCTGCTAGTTGACGCAGGGGAGAACATGACTCATCAGCTGTTTCTTGTTTATGGAGGTTCGGGGCGGTGGTGCTTGGTGTTTCAGCAAGTCGAATCCCCCCCCCAAAAAAAAGTCGCATCTTCACTTTTTCTGGGCGTGTTATTTTTTTTTATTGGCCCCTGAAAATGGTGGAGTCCTTTTGGTGTCCCTTCAAAACCACCAAAAAAGAAGCCTCAAAAAGAAGAGACGCGTCTCTTCTGGCTCGGCTTCCCGGTAGCAGAGGTCGTCGCTATCGCAGGATCATGGACCCCCAAAGGGGGGGCGAACTGGGGGGGGGGGGGGCTATCCCTGGATAAGCCCAGGACAAGCCATGGATGAGCCCCTAGTAAGACCTTAAGAGGTCAACAAGGGATAGCGCCCCCCCTCCCCTTGACGGTCCATGACAACATTAAAAAAAAGAGGACACATCAAAACGAAGAGGCACCCTTCTGGCTCGTCTTCCCATATGGGTATGGTCGATTCATTTTAGCGGAAGAGCTTACGCAGCTCTTGTGAGACACAGTTACCACTGCAGCAGCAGCCAGCCATCAACCACTGACGTGGACAGGAACTGGTCCACATAAGCAGGGGCCAAAATCAAACCACCAGGAGACTGCAGATTTCAATCCTTTTTCCATTTACCAGGGTTCCAATTGGGGTACCTATTTTTGACCCACACGCATACAAACAGAGGTCGTCAGTTCTCGCAGGATAGCGCCCCCCTCCCCTCCCCCCCCCGCCCCAGTTCGCCTTTCTTGGTCGTCGGTTCGCTTTTCGCTAGGATAGCTTCAAGACGGTGCTGTGCAAGTACTACGAGCGGGGCAGCTGCAACCGGGGCAGCGGCTGCAACTTCGCCCACGGCAGCAAGGAGCTGGTGAAGCTCGAGGTGCCCGAGGCCGTTTTTTTTTTTTTCTTTCCTCCTTTTTCCTGGCTTGAATTGGGTGGTTTGGGAGTTGAACCAAGGTAAATCTGCAGGCGGTTGATTTGGTGTCATAGGGGGTTGGTTTTCCTTTTGCTTTTTCCTTCACAGCCATCAACAAATAGGGTACCGAGCCTCAACACAAGCCGAGCAGCCCCCTCAAACTTTCCCTCAACTTTCCATCAGAACCGTTTTGAAAGCCCCAACAAGGTTCGTTGGAACCATAAAAGTAGGTTGGGTGATTCCTGGTTTACCTGGTGGTTTAATCAACTACCAGGGAACCCCATCTATTTTCAACCAAAAAGGATACCTATGCTTAGATACTTTTTCTCGCTTTTCCTCGCGATTGGTCCAGGTCCCCCAGCTAGGTGCCAACTTTTACCGTTTCTTTTTTTTTGGGGGAAAAAAAACGGGTACTCTTATTGGAACCTCTCCACTGGGACATGTTTCTCTTTTTTTTTCAATTACTGGAGGAGACATGGCGACATGCCGTTTTCGAGCTGTTTTTCTCCCGTTTTTTCAGGCGACATCTTTCTTCTTCCAGTTTCTTTTGGTCAAGTTTCCCAGAATGGGTGGTTTGGGAGTTGAAGCAAGGTAAATCTGCATCTCTTGCACCGAGGTATATTTTTTGGGTATGTATAACAGATTCCCCTTAGTTGGTGGTTTGAATTGGTTGGGGAAATGAACGGGTCAATGGGAATCTTGTAGAGGTAAATGGGAACCCTGCCCGGCCCTTAACATCCCTGAACCGCCAATTCAAACCACCGGTCACCAATCGAAGGGAAGCTGAAAAAATGAGTCAGGCATCTGATACGTGAACAAAGGCGACATCTTTCTTATTCGAGTTTCTTTTGGTTACGTTTCCCAGAATTAGATAAGCCCTAATTGGTGGTTAAATCTCTTAGTGTCATTCCATGCAACTCATTCCCTGCATCTCTCGCACCAGCAAGGTACATGTGGGGTATGTATATCAGATTCCCCAAATCACCACTCGAAGCAGAAATGGAATGACCCCGAGAAGAACCAGAAATCCAGCCGCTATGGGTTCCTTTGAGGGAATCCCCTTCCGGTTCATTCCCAACACCCGGAAGGTCATTCCCGAGCACCAGCCAGTTTAATGACACCAACCACATGTTGGAACCAGACGAGAACAAAAAAAGAGAAACGACAATTTTCTGTAGATGGTGGCGAAATCCTTAGCACCACGACATGAACCCATGGTTGAAATCATTGCCTTGATCTTCCAGGACCCTGGAAAAGCAGGCCATTGGACGAATTTCCACTTGAAGCTAAGATCAAAATCAAGAAGGACCCGGGTTTTGCGGGTCCCAAGGGAAGACCAAGGTTGGTTTACAGGGGAGTTGAGAGGTTCGTTCCCAAACCCCTGGGTCATTCTTTCGCTTTGCTCGCTTCGATAGGGGATGAAGAACCCTGGGTTCCTTTAGTCAAACCCCCAAAACCGGTGCATGCAACCAACACCCGGAAGGGTTTTTCCTTACTGGAGCACAAGCAAGTTTTGGGGGGTGCAATAGGTAGGGAATGACCTTCCGGGCGTTGGGAATGAACCGGTTTTGCGGATTCCCACATAGGGGAAGCCACCAGTTGGATGGGTTATAGAGGTCATTCCAACTCATTCCCTGCAGAGAACCAGCAAGTTTTGCGGGTTAGGGTTGGAAGGGGGGGGGGGGCTGGGATTTTGAGAAAAATAAAGGCGTGCGTGTTTTTTGGTTGTTGGGGTCTTTGGGCCAAGAAATTACTGGAAGGCCAGAGGGAAACCACCTTCCCCAAGGGCGAGAAAACCATCGCCTAGAAAGTCCCTTCTAGAAGCGAGGGTCCTTTTTGAGGAGTCGGCCCGTTTTCCGTGGCCCGTTTTCTGTTCATGGTGTTTTCCCGTGTTGTGCTTGGTGTTGCCTTTTGGCAAAATGGGCTTGCATGGTTGGTACTGTGGATGGTTGCGAAATTCGTTCAAGCACCACTTTGAAAGCATGGCTGAAGCCACAACAATTGTTGGTATTTACGAGGGAATCATCAGAACAGGGTTTCTTAGGTGCAGGATAATGGTCCATCCACAGTATCATTTGCGCTTTCCACCTTGTCTCTTGTCTCGTGTTGTCACGGGATCAGGATTTACCATGCCCTAACTTACCCATTTGTAGTGGGAACTATGACTAGGTCCCCCAGTAGTGCCCATTTACCCTTTTTTGGTTGGGAGTGTTCCCCCACTGAAATAGACTACAGAAAGAAGTTGGTACCCTTCTTCCAAGCTCTCTGGAGGACCTAGATCATTTCAGTGGTTTCCCCCCGATGGCCCTATCTTGATCAACCCCCTCGCGATCGCATCAGATCAAGCCGGAGCCGCCGGAGAAGCCTAAGCCGAAGCCGGAGAAGGTGAAGAAGGAGCCCGAGCTGACGCCGGACGACCCCGCCTACAAGACGGCGCCCTGCAAGTACTTCCAGAGCGGCCACTCGGACGCGGGGCGGGTTTCAGCTTCCAAACGTCCAGGGGTTTCGGGTCTGGAAGGGTAGCTTATATGGGGATGGGTCCAAGAACTCAACCAGGGGACCGCAAGCCAGCGCTCCATTTTGGGGTCTCCCGATTTTGCACAACCACAGCCAAATGGCCCAAATTCCCCTGTCTCCGGCATGTGAGCAATCTCCCCTACAAGGAGCTTGTTCTTACCCGTCTGCCCCTCGGCTCGAATCGGGAGTTTGTTCAAACCATAGGTGTCATTAGGTGTCCCTTTTAGGTTAGTTTGAGTAGAAGTAGATGGGTTGCACTGGTTTAGATGGTTCTTTTTCCCATTTACCAGAGAAACCCATCTACCCCCCTACTCAAAATACCCGCTTTTGTCCGGGTATTTTTGGGAAAACCTGGGTTTCCACGGTAAAAACCTCCTTTTTTAGTAGAGGGTCGACCTCATACCCTGAGAAAAGGAGGGTATTGGGTGTAGGGGGTATATTTTCCAAAAGGTCACCCGCGGTTCAATCGGTTGCACCGCGAGGCCACTGCTTCAAGGGCGAGGAGTGCACCTACGCCCATGGAGAGGAGGACCTGAGATCCTTCCCAAGAGCACCTTGGCTAACTCCATTTCACCCCCCCCCCCCCCCCGCCCAACTGACCCCCTCTCTAGACCCGGCTGGCTCCCTTAGCCCCGGTGTGCATGGTTGTTGTTGGGCAAGACATTTTACATTCTTGCTTATTGTGGTTTAGTGGTTGAAATCCAACCACTTAGCTGCTAAATTGTTTGACAACTTTTGCTCCCCAAACCCAAGGTCAACCAATTTCTGTGGCTTCTTTCCCATTTCTGTGGCTTCTCTCAGACCCCCTTGGAAAGGGCTCGCGAAACATTTTTGGTTTCGCGAGATTTCGCGATTCCAATGGCTGCACCCGTTGAGCTGGAGAGGTTCGCATGATATTTGCACGTAATTATTTGATATTTCCCGGGAGGCCAAGCAAGGGAAGGCCAAAGACCGCCGCCTTTGCTACTTGCCAATCAGCAAGTGCCAACAGAGGATTCCCAGATTTCAGCTTGCGATTCAGCATGTTCGATCATGAAGTGCCCAGCTTCATCGCTTTGTTTCCATGATCCATTCTTGTGCAGATCGGTGTCCTTTTTCGTTGCTTTCTTCGCAACTAGGTGGCGATTCCTGGTTGACCCGGTTGTTTCAGAATCTATAACCGGGGCCATCTAGTTCATCCCTAAAGTGACACCCATGTAGGTAACCAAGGGGACCACCCTTTCCAAAAGAGGAACATGATTGGCCTAATGTTGACCCCGGATTAATAAACCCCTGTTTATTAATATGGGGGCGTCCCCGGTTTTAGAGGGGATTTATCACTTCTGGAGGGAAACACCCCCGTATTAATAAACAGGGGTTTATTAATCCGGGGTCAACATTACTGTAGGGGAAACTGGGATCCACTGGGTCTTTGTGCTTTACCCTGCGGCGGACTTGCCAGGCACGTCCCAAGACGCCCTGCAAGTTCTTCCAGCAGGCGTCGGCACGAGAAGCTTCCGCCGGAGTTTCGGGGGGTCCGAGCTGTCCTTTGAGGGTAGCCTCTTTTTTTTTTGGGGGGGGGACTCACGTTTTGGGGTGGTGTTAAAGGGAAACTAGCCTAGATGAAGGAGGGACTGCTCAACTAGGTGAGAGCAGTCGGCTTTTGACGCAGGTGAAAGTGTGCTCGGTTGGATGATCAATGAGCGCATTGGATGCAACCCGCTTTGCTTGAGCCTCTGTCCGGCCCTCATAGCAGTTACTCTCAGTAACCAAGAAGCAGCCATGCCTACTGCTGATCGCGCTTATCCCCATGTTTCCCAAAATTCCTCATGGCTCCCCAGAAAGGGGCAGGCGTTCTCCTGGGAGTTATCAAAGTGAGAAACTGGAATTGGTTGTTTCCCTTTAGGGGGGTGACTTTGACAATGCTTGGTGGCTCCCAGCCATCCGGTTTCTTAGCTTTTAAGCCTTTGAGCATTTTCGCCTGTTAGTGGTTGGCTTTCTGATTTTAACCCGCAAGTTAGTCACTTTTAGGAGATCAGAAAACGGACAGCCCAGAATGGTCTAAAAAAATATATGGGGCCTTGCTTTCTCTCCCGCCCAAACTTCCTGCCCTCTCTGAGAGAAACTTCCTGCCCTCGGCGCGCGAGCGGAGGGCATCTGCAACAAGGGCGACAGCTGCAGCTTCTCCCACGACGTCGCGCCGGAGACGATGACCATCCGGGCGCCGCAGGTCCAGGCGGGGAAATGGGGGGGGGACTTGGGTCCGACCCTAAAGTGGGCGGGTTGGGGCAGTGGGCAGTGGGGGTTGGTGGGGCCTCCGGTGATTTTGTCCGTTTTGAATGACCAAAAAGGGCAGCCTCAAGAAGGACAACCCCGTCTTTCTGTATCTTTGTTGGCCTCCATGAGCAATCAACGTAACGTGGGTGATTCACTCAAAATGTTCCTCACTCGTTTCTTTCATTTTCTTGTTTGGACAAGTCAAACTAAGGATAGAGCTTTGCTTTGACTCCTCCCGCTACAAGGTCCTTGAAAGTACAATGACCCTGCAAAAAGGGCGGGAATGACAGTCATGTTTGCGACTTTTGATCCTGCTCTAGTTTTGACACTCAGAAAACAGAACTCGTAGTGCGGTGATATTTCTTTGGGACCTCTGGTTCGCATGTTTCCCAGCGAGCTTGGGTTTGCGGCTTCTCTGGTTTCCGCTTGCCCTAGGCATTTCTACCTCCGAGTCCCTACATGAGAGCCGAACAAATTACTTTTTCCTGATCTTTGCCTGGCATGGTGAGACGCGGGGGGCACTCGGCAGTTTTTCCGGCTTTCGTAGCTCTCATTTCTTTGGGTGTGGAACGTGGCGGTTCAGTGTTTGCGAGGAGACGTCGCCTGCGAATGCCTTCAAGACGGTGCTGTGCAAGTACTTTGAAGCCGGGCATTGCAGCTCGATTCTGCAATTTGATTATGCTGCACTGGAATGGCACAGGATTTGTTTTTAAGATTTGTTTTTAAGCTGCACTGGAATGGCTCGGATGGGTGTCAATTTTGTTTTTAAGTTCATGGCACCGGATTAGATATGTTTTGTTTCATTCGCCAGGAACACCCATCTTTTTTTTTAACCAAAAGGACACCCGTGTTTGAAAGGGGAAGTTGGCAATAGTCAACGGGAGTGTGAAGGTTCTTCCAGCAGGGAGCTGGCTGGGAGGCCCATTGCCCTCGAGGGCTGCTGATATTTTGTGCCGCAAGTGCGTCGTTTCTTTCCAGTTTTCGCAAGCAAATAGAAACTCAAATGGCTGGTGAACATCACAATAGGTGGCAAATGGATGTTCATCCACCCCAAGATGGAGCCATAGGTTATGCTCCATAGCCAAATGTCCCAGATACTTGCCCCAAAGCACAGTTGGTGAAGGAGCTCCTTGCTCATCTTTGGGAAACCGCTCTTTGGACCCTCAAAAGATTGGTGGTTTCGTTGTGGTAAGTCACCTTTGAACCAGATACCCACAAGATCCACAACCCCAAGTAAAGCCGCTCATTTGGGCTGGGCGGATTTCACGAATGCCATGCTCCCCGCGCCGCGGAGTCCGAAAAAAGTTTCCGCCCGCGGATGTTCGCAAGGCACCCGCGGAGACAGCTGCACGTACGCGCATGGGGAAGAGGAGCAGCAAGAGGCCGGAAACAGAAAGGACGCTGTCGGCCAGTTGGGGTCAAGCGGAGAAACCCCACCAGGTGGAGGATTTGCGAGGGTCATGAGCAAGGCTTTTACAATATACATGCACCTTTATGACCAGCTTATTAGAACCAAAAGTCAAGGCACTGCTTAAAGGGGTTTGCAAATGCATCCTGTTAGACTGGGTGGTTTGTCTCTCCGCGAGCTCCCCCGAGGTCTTTCCCCCCGAAGCAATGACATGCCCTGTGCCCAAGCTGGACCAGGGTGATGGTTTCGGGTGCCTGGTGGACGAGGGGGGGCCAACGTTTGTGCGCACAGTTTGCGAGCTGTCTCGAGCTAACTCTCAAACAACTCCAAAGCTCAGCCAGTGGGTTGAATCTTGTTTTTTTTTTTTAATGAGCCGCATTGCCATCCGCCGCATTCCCCCCCCTTTCCTCTCCTACCCCCGCCGCGTTTTCACCAGGCGTCGAGTTTTAAGACGGTGCTCTGCAAGTTCTTCGAGGCCGGAAGCTGCACCAGGCCCGGGCCGATCGAATCGAGCTGAAGCTTCGGAATTGAGGTGGGGCTTGTCTGGCGGTTGGTTCGGGGCGCTGCACTTCCTGGGTCCAGAAAACCCTAAACCCTAAGCCCTAAGCCCTAAACCCTTGACGCCCACGCAACCAAAGCCGCGCAGGTCTTGCGCAGAGTCCTTTGCTCCGGAGGTTTGGGGCTGGCCAGTCCCCAGGAACCGAACCACGCAGAAGTTCGAGGGCGGCGCTTGTTGGGATATGGCGGTGGTGGTCAAAACCGTTCTGGTTGATCCCACTTTTGGTGGGTAGGTGAATTCACCACCCGTTTTAGAACCTATTTTAGTGGTTGGATTGCAAGACTCGCGCGCAGGTTCTCATGCGTGCTTACTCTGCTTTTGTCTTCTGTCAGAGAGCTAGCATTCAATTAGTGTCCGCACCACGGAAGTCCCTTCTAAACTTCCTTTGACAAGAAGCAAACCAACTAAGACCAAACCAAACGCAAGCAAGCCCCAAAACCACTCCACAGGCCGGGCAGGCCATTCCAGATTGCCGAAGCCAACCCTCATACCATCCCAAGCCAACCCCAACCCAACATCCCAACCAGACCCCACCCACCATGCCGCAGGGGGGGGTGGGGGATGGGGGTGGGAGGGGTGTTGGGGGGCTGGACCCTGTGTACATATATATATATATATATATGTATACTTGTGGGTGGCTCGTGGGTTGGTACTTTCTTTTTGTCGAAAATAATTTCACCATGTTTGGGGGGTTCCCATAAAAAGAAGCACCGCCATGTACATTATCTATGTATACATGCATATCTTTGGTGCATTTTGCCAACTAAGGGGTTTTCCATGACCACCGAAAGTTTAAAACTTCTAGCAGGGGAGCAGAAAGCAACCGAGATATAGTGTGTTCATTTGTGTTTTATAGATAGTGCACTCATACTCACATCTCACATGGCCATGTGATCTCTTTCCACGGCCGGGCCCGTCTGCCGGCCTTCTCGCTTCAAAGCAGTCGGCCAATCAGCCAGGGGCGACAGCTGCAGCTTTGCGCACGGCGAAAGCGATCTCGCCAGCAACAAGGCTGGTGGATCGGTCCCATGAATCTCTGTTGTTCCTTTCTCTACCTTCCATTTGCTGAGATGTTTTTTTTTGGTGTTCCCTTGTTGGTTTTAAAGGGAATCGATTTCACCACTGGACATAGTTTCTCATTTTTTCCAGGCGGTTTAAGCAAATGGAAGCTACCAGTCAGGCAGAAGGTGGCTTCGCCAACTGGAATTACATAATATACATATTTTTAAAAAATAACGTTATGAGCGGAGAAACTCATTTTGCTTTTTTGGTCTGAGGATCAACAAGCTTAAGTTTATTTGACATTCTTGGTTTGGAGGATCATTGCAGTCTGTTTGACATCTTAGGTCTCAGGATCAACGAGCACATTCTTGGTTGGAGGGCGTTGCCGGCTGAGGTAGGTGAGCAGCAGCAACAGATCGCTGCTGTAGATCCCCAAGCACCCATTTGAATCCTTGACACATCCTTGAAACATACGAATGGCTCGTCTTTTTATGGAGTTGGTACCCCGTCTCATTTTTGTGGTTTTAAAAGGGACGCCAAAAGAAAGAAACAAGAACATTTTGGGGGTCCCCTAAAAAAGCAGACCCAGTTGGACAAAACATACAATCAGGTGCCTCTTACTTGGTGGTTTGGATTTGGATTTGAATCCCTGCTTTTGGTAGAAGGTGAAGCGAAAACCATCCCCAACCAAACCACCAGTCCAAACCACCCATAAGTGGGAACTTGATACATCAGTCACAAACACACATAGCCATCCAATTCATTGCAGAGGTCCTACCCTGGCCTGTTTTTCTAGATAGCGCTTTGAATGTGGCTTTTGTGGATTCACCCCTATCAAATATCAAAAGAGTACGAAAAACGGGCCAACAGGGGGAAACACTTGTGAGACCCACAAACAAGCGCAAATCCTCGAATTTCTGAGCTCCAATTGACTTCAGGCCATCGAAAACAAGGCGATTCCTGGGAGAGCCATCCCTGATGCAGCACCACCCCTTTCTGTCAGAGTGTTGAATCAGAGTGAACTGGCATTAGGACTCGGACCGCCCCCCCCCCCCCTGCAAAAAACATTGCCGATTTCAACGGCTTTTCTCTTGGTTTCCCTTAAAACCGACCAAGGGGGGGTATCCACAAAAACAAGACACGCCCAAAATGCTGGGCCTCTGCACGGTGAGATTGGCGCAGGCTACGTTGGCCTGCGGCCCGTTTTTCTGCGGGGCTTGCAGGGGATTTCGGGTGGGACCCCCGACCAAAAACCCACATTCCGCATAACTAGGTTACATGAATTTAGTGGGGCTGTGAACCACACATCCTCACAACACCTGGGGAAATCCACTTGTCTTGTTCTTCTTCTTTCTTTTTTTTTGGCTTTTTGGGGGAGGTGGGCATCAGGGGGTGTAAGCCTCGGGCATCCACCTGCGGCGGTTGGGGGGCTGGCAGGCCGAGGAGGTGCCCAGTTTGGCGGACGTCATTGCGCGTGCCTGGGATGGCTGGATGGAGGGCTGGGATGGGGACAGACGTGGGAGACGTGGGGGGGCACCAGGATTTGGCCGGATCTTTCGGGATGTTTTTTGGATTTTTGGTGGATTTTCAGGGATTGCTTGGATTTTTGGGGAGATGTCATATTTTTGTGGATGTTTGTTTTGTTTTGCGCTTTTTTGGGGGGGGATGCTTTGGACTTTTTTGGGAGTTTGCGGGATTTGGCCCCGGGGGGTTGGGGAAACCGACCCCGACCTGGAAGGCTTTCAGAACCACTTTGCGGGTTTGAGTTTTCGGCGGAAGATGGAGCTTCCAAATCAGCTCAGCAGCCCTGTGGCCGAGGCTACTGAAGGAAGTTGCACCGAGGCTCCGAGATGAGTAGCACCTAACATTGAAACGCCGCAAGGGACGCCAAAACTCGTGAAAGACTTGCAGGGATTTCCCGGGATGGCACTGTGGATAGTTTCTGTGAATTCGCTTACAAGCAGTGGGTCCTGTGGATGGACAAAGTCCCGCAGCACATAGGCGGCTCATTTCATTAATAGGGTTTCATCCCATCCCAGGTGGTGCGAAGCGGATTTCGTCCACACCATGATGTTTGCCAGCCAACTTGAATGTTGACCCCATATAAATCAACCCCAGTTGATTGATACGGAGGTGTCCCTGGTTTTAGTGGGGATTTATCTCGCTTTTGCAGGGGAACACCACCCCTCGCAATATTAACAAAAAAGCTCCACGGGAGGCCGGGCACGGAGCCTCACCAAGCCGTTGGGCAGGCGAGGGGTAGTCGAAGGAAGATGCCACGTGGGGGGAAAAACCATGTTCTCATTGGGGGCACTCTTCCATGGCCCATGAAACCTGGGTGAGAACATCAGAGATCCCCATGATACCCACCAAAGCGTTGCAACTTCACACCCACTCTGTGATATAGCTTCACCTGCGTTACTTTGAATGCGGCTTTTCTAGTCCACCCGGACTTTTCTTTGGTACGGACTCCTGTAGTCCTCTTCATATTCTGGGGATGGAAACCCCACCAGGTTTCTGGCCGGCGCGCTCGGCTCGAGGCGCCTCGATGCCGTCGATGGCAGCACCGCAGCGACCAGCGGTGGTCCCCCCCAGGCGCTCCGCGTTCCGCCCAGGGATCAAGGGACGAGTTAACGGAGCGAGCTTCGCTGAAGCCAAGGCCAAGGTGGCTTCTGAATTGGGTTCCATTTGCTGAATTCGTGAGTCTTAGGAAGTTTCTTTCCGTACTGCACACAAAGATTCGTTCTCTTGCCAGGGGACAGATCAAATGATCTCAGCATTCCTTTGTTCTTGGTCCAAATGGCCAGAAACCGTTCCCCCCCAAAACCTCCCAACCCACACGCCCGCCCCGCGCCCGGTTTCGCCAGGGCCGGCGTGAAGCGACCCATGGAGTGGGAGCCGGAGTCCAGACCCAAAGTCCCCAGGCTGGGCTTCCGCGGAAGCCGAGCAGACACCCAAGGGAAGGAATTCTTGCGATCTGCCTGGTTGCCGGCAAAAATGTTTGGCTTCATCCCATGGTTTCATCACAGTATGTCAAATCCAGGGCCCCCCTTTCCACAGGTGTCGTGCCATTTGTCCTTTTTAACTCGTCCTGTGAACCTCAACAGCCCCTGGAATGATTGAAGTTGCAAAAAGAACCCCCCCACTTTTGCGCTCACCCAAGGCCACAACAGATTGGAACCAAACCGTGTCCAAAACGTACTCTTTACTTTTTTCTTTTTCTTTTTCTTTGTTGGTTTAAGTATTTTGGTTCTGTTCGTTTTTGGCGGAGTCCAAAAAATCATCCTCCGACCGCTCCCTCGCATACAGGTTTCTTGGAAGTTTGACCAGGAAGTTGTTCGGTTGACCCTTCAAGTGCCTCATGGCCAGCTGAGCCACAATCAAAACCCGGGTAAGTGAAGGTTAGATCCCCTTGCCATAAATAGCTGCGGATCTCCGCCTTCTTAGTTCTTGAAGCATGGTTTGGGTCGACCATTTTTGAACCGGGTTTTGAGCAAGTGACTCAACCGAGCTCAACCTTGAGGGCTGTGAAGGGCGGATTTCTGGATGTAACTGATGCCAGGCGCATCTCTGAATGACTCAGGCTTGCAGGGAATGTCAACCCCGGATTAAGCAGAACCCCTGGTTGATTTCTAAAAGGGTGTCCCCTTTTGGTGGTTGGATTGAGACCACTTTTGGAACACCCCTAGTAATGGGACGTGCTTATTAATCCTGGATCAGCATTATCCACTTCCATGCCCGAATCCCAGTTTGGACCTCTTTGCAGCCAAGCCTGCCACTGATCCTTCCATCTGAAGCTGGCATGGCGAGTAATGGCGCAGTGGCCCAAATCCAGGCGTTGATTCTAGGGGTAACTTCCATTACCATTCTTGCTGGTCAGCTGGGAATGAGAAATGGAATGACCCCGAGCAAAACACATCCTGATTTGGTTTCCTTTGAGGGAATCTTTGAGGTTCATTTCCTCATTCCTCTAGGGGACACTTCCCCATTCTTGCCAAGGATCCGAATCGTTCGAGAAAACCACCAAAAACCCTGGTCTTTGAAAAGAACGACGGAAAAGAATGGAAAAGGAATCAACCCCTAGATTGATGCCTCCCTTGGTGCAAATACTTAGCGCTACATGCGGCAGTCTTTTGGCTGTCCTCCGGTCGCGGAAGCCGCACTGGGGCCTGTCCAGCAGTATTGCGACCCCCGCAAAATGACCATGCTACAACTGGGGCTCTCAAAGTCAGTGACTGGAATCGGCGGTTTCCCTTTCACCCACCAAAATAAAGGACGTGACTGTGGGAACCTCACGAGGCTATCCGCGGTTTCCACTGAGAGAACCGGCCGTTCCTCTTTTTTTGTGTGTTTTACCAGCAAAGTGGGGTGAAGGGAAACCACCATTTCTTTGACAACCCCTAGAAACAATCAAAATCATGGCCCCAGTCGAACAGGACTCCTTACAAGAAATTCATTTTGCAACCATTTGAAACATGTTGCTTTCTCCACAAAAATAAAGTTTGAAACCGCCATTTACAAGTTGCAATGTTCAGGTGTATAATGCATCCGGATCCTTGTCTAAGGGAAACCATCGCCAAAAACAACACGCATTGCTGCTTCGAGGCAGCAGTGCGCCTTCTTCGCGGTGGGCCGCTGCGCCAGAGGCGAAATCCAAGGGAATCCACAGAAATTGGTCTGTCGTTTTTTTGGCGCTACCCGTTGTTTTTCCCCCCCCCCTTTTTTTTCAAATACTACCTGCTTTTTTTGGTACTACCTGCCTTTTTCTTCGGTGCTACCTGCTTTTCTTCGGTGCTGCCTGCTTTTTTGGTGCTACCTGCATTTTTTCGTTGCTACCTGCTTTTTTGGTGCTGCCTGTTTTTTTCGTTGCTACCAGCTTTTTTTGGTGTTATCTGCTCTTTATGTTTATATTTGTTTTTTTGGTGCTACCTGCTGTTTCGGTGCTGCCTGCTTTTTTGGTGGTACCTGCTTTGGTTGGTGCTGCCTGTTTTTTTTGGTGGTACCTGCTTCGGTTGGTGCTACCTGCTGTTTCGGTGCTGCCTGCTTTTTTGGTGCTGCCTGCCTTTTTTTCCCGGTGCTACCTGCTTTTTTTGGTACTACCTGCTTTTTCGGTGCTACCTGTTTTTTGGGTGATACCTGCTTTTTCGGTGCTACCTGATTTTCCGGTGCTACCTGCTGTTTCGGTGCTGCCTGCTTTTTCGGTGCTACCTGCTTGTTTTTGGTGCTGCCTGCTTTTTTTTGTTGGTGCCTGCTTTTTACGGTGCTACCTCTACCTGCTTTTTCGGTGCTATCTGCCGTTCGGTGCTGCCTATTTTTTTCGTTGCTACCTGCTTTTTTTGGTGCTACCTGCCTCCTTTTTTTTTGCGGTGCTACCTGCTTTTTTGGTGGTTCTTTCTGGTGCTACCTTCTGTTTTGGTTCTGCCTTGCTTTTTTGGTGTTACCTGCATTTTGTCGTTGCTACCTGCATTTTCTGGTACTACCTACCTTTTTTTCCGGTGCTACCTGCTTTTTTTTCGGTGCTACCTGCTTTTTCCGGTGCTACCTGCTGTTTCGGTGCTGCCTGCCTTTTTTTCCCGGTGCTACCTGCTTTTTTTGGTACTACCTGCTGTTTCGGTGCTGCCTGCGTTTTTGGTGGTACCAGCTTTGGTTGGTGCTGCCTGCTTTTTTGGGTGGTACCTGCTTTTTCGGTGCTATCTGCTGTTTCGGTGCTACCTGCTTTTTTGCTGCTACCTGCTTTTTCGGTGCTACCTGTTTTTTTGGTGCTGCCTGCTTTTTTGGTGGTACCTGCTTTGGTCCCTTGAAAAGATGGTCGGACCGCCGAAAAGATGCAGATGGTTGCAAGTTGGCCGGCGTTTTGAAGGAGTCCACTTCGTGGATCTTCGCCCTGTTTTTTCTCGGATGTGAGTCATGACATGGCGCAATTCTCAGAAAATCGCCAGATGATATGTGAAGCAGATCACTCTGAGATACTTTGCTCCCGCAACAGGAGGGGACATTCCGTTTTTTGAGTTAGGTTCCGGATATGCTATTGCAGGTTGTGGGTGTGCTCCGGTGCTCTGGCCTCGAGTTCTCGGCAAGTAGTATTTCCCCCCCCCCTTTCGGCAAGCTTTTGTTCCCGTGCGAAGTTGCATGAATTGACCGAATTGGCGCGAAACGAACTGGCCAGGGATATAAGCGCTCGTTTTTAGAATGGAAGCCCTTAGAGGGACGTCTCGACACCTCCGATCGGGACCCCACTTGTAAGGGTTGGAAAGAGGGCAGCAAAACGTGGCCAGTTGGGCTGGGGCCTTCTTTCTTCGCTTGTTGTAGGCTCGAAAATTAGTGACCGCAGGTGGAAATCCACCCCCTGAAGTGGCAAAGACGTGAGGTAACGCTCTTCGTGCTCAGGGCACCCGCTCCCGAAAGCATAACTTCGTTTGCCAGCTCGGAGTTCTACATGCGGCAGAGCATCCGATTGGCCATCAGGGCCCATTGAAATGGCTATCGTGCTAGGGGCGCCAAGGTGCGAATGTGTGGCCCTCAGAACGCGAAAGGTTCCATCTGATTTTTTTGCAACTGATGTTGACCCCTGATTATCACCGTTATCACCCCCCCCAACTTTCTTTCAGGGGGTGAGCATTCCCTGATCTCCTGCCTGGCAGGTTTCAGGGGTGAAGATTCCCAGTGATTCCATTTACCTGTATGGCAGGTAACCAAGATTAACCAAGGGAACCGGCCATTAAACATCAAAAGGAACATGGCGAAGGGTTGCCTATCCTCCTAGAAAACGGTTTTGGATGCGCGGCTGGGCGGAAATCAGATCTGTTCTCCTCCCTCTTTTTCGCAATCTTTTAGTACTCTTTTAGTATCCCACGAGGGGATCCACAAACAACCACCTCCAAAGGGGGTTTCCAGAGCACTCGCTTGGATGACTTGCCGATCGCCCGAGCTCCGAGCTCCGAGCTCCAGGAAGCGACTGCCCCTACCAGCACGGCCCGGACCTCCCGGACTTTCCGGACCCCGCGCTGGCGCTGTTTCCGGAGGCCACGTCGCCACGCAGCGACTCGGCGGCAGGGAGCTGGGCTGCTGGTCGCTGTCGCCACCTTGCCCAGCGAAGAAAGCGGTCGGTGGGTCAAAGAAACACGGCTGCGGCTCAAAACAAATAGTGCCCATGATGTCACCTTGGTAAATGAAAACCAGTGACCAACCTGCGTAACCCTGGATCTTAAAATCTTGAGCCACACCCACATGCACCAAACATTTTACTTTGTTTTGCTTTCTAAGACACACCCAAGTCCCAAACGAGACAGCACGAGTGCCCAGAGAGCACGCACCTACCCCCCGTGTTTCACGCCTCCCGGAGCATGTTGGGAGGCGTCTCCTAACCGGACCCGCGCATCTGAAAATCCAGCCGCACTTTTGCTAGAAGGGAATTTTGAAAAGGTGGGTCAAGCCACGAGTTGTTTTCTTTTTTGTTTGTCTGGCCATTGCCTCCGGGAAACTGCTTGGTGGATTAGGTTTGGAGATTTGAACGGGTCCCTGGTTCTTGTAGAGGGCAAATAGGAAGCCCCCCCCGAACCACCAAAGCACCGCGCTCCACAGCAAGTGCAGAGGGGGGTCACCCTGGAATTCCATTTCTGCTCCATTTTCCGTTCGCTTGAATTGGTACCCAGTGCATATGAGAAAAAGGCGTGTGAGAAGGGGCACAGGGCAAGTGAACCCGGGTGAAACTGGAGAACCCTGATTTGGCTGTGGGTCAAGAATAGGGGTTTCAAACTGGAACCCTGGTAGAAGGAAGCATGGACTACCTGCGGTTTTCTGGTGGATGAATTTTGACCAGCCAGTTCTGGGGAAGCCAGGTTTCGAAGCCTTTCTTCCCTTGCTTTCTTCAGATCTTCTTCTCCAGCCTCCAGGCACGGGGGAAAAACGAGCACTGGCCAGTCGTTTTTTTTTGCTTCGTCTGAGCCAACGAACGCGCGAAGGTCAGGACAAAACACAGAGGTTCCTGTCTCTTTCATTTTCAGGTCCTGCTTCAGACCTTGGAAGAAGTGGAAAAGGCCCCAAAGGCAAAGGTTCCTGTTTGGCTTTGTGCCAAACTGGGCCCAAGAAGGACTGACCCCCCGAAGTCTTCACCCAGTTGCCTTTCTAAGGAGGCCATTGGATCTATGTGGAGGAGGACACGGGCAGCGGGAAGTCTCTTCTTGTCTTTTTTTTTAACCAGCCTCTAGTTTCAGAATTTGTGAAGGAATTCCTTCCAGTTTTGCGAGGGGGAATGACGTCCTCAAGGAAACACGTCTTGCCGTGAAGTGAGCCACGATCGAAACCCTGTAGATGACGGTCAGTAAGGGACGATCCCCTTGCCATACATAGCTGCGGCCGCCTTCTCAATTCTTGAAGCATAGTTCTGGGTCGACCATTTTAATACCGGGTTTGGATGTCCTTGGGTCAAAATCCCGTACCCCCAGTGAACATCCCGATCCCCACCACAATAGGTTCTAAAATGGGTGGTGCACCTACCCCAAAATAGGATCTCATAGGTTTTGACCCACAGCCACTTCTGAAAGGAGGGGCAAAATAAGAGAGTTGCAAGGTCGCCAAAAGGAAAGCAGAAGCCATTTTTGGGGTTCCACCCGAAGAAAAACGACACACCCATGGCCCATATCATCTAGGATGTATGTCAACCGACTCCTTCGTAGGAGGAGTGGGCCGACCCGAGCTGGCCCGAGCAACACCACGCGGCCTCGGGCTCGTGGCCTTCGACGTTTCTCGGGTGGAAGTTTGGGCGGGACCCGAGGAGAGAAGATGCGGCTGGAAAAAAAATCAACGGGATCCCATTTTGGTATTCACCACCCATTTTAGAACCTAGTGGTTGGATTGGGATTCACTAGGGAACGGTACCACTTTGGTTGGTAGGTATTCACCGCCCATTTTGGAACCTATTCTAGTGGTTGGATTGGGATTCACTGGGGGTACGACTTGGATTTTGATCCATGGCCATGAGAGGTTTGACCAGAGAAGCTGAAGAATTGGGAGAGTGGAGAGTAGATGTGGAGAGATGCGCGGTGTACACCAAAAAAGGCACCAAGAGAAGAAGCTCAAAGCAGCCGTCGCTTCGCCAACGGTAGGCCATTCGGGGGTGGATCAATATTCCTTCGGCCCCCAAAGGACCATGGGTAGCTGTTCCCATGTGGGTGTGGCTCAAAATTAACCAGGAGGGGTTACGCAGGTGTTGGTCCATGTTTCCACTTACCAGGGTTCCATTTTGGTACCGTTTTTTTGAGCCACAGCCAAATAATTGTGTTATTCTTAGTGGTTCTTTGATCAACCCCGATGTCACCATTGGAAAGTAGAAGAAATGACTCGAGCACGGAGGGAATCCTTTTTCTGAAAGGCCGTTTTCTTGAGGCAGGATCGTCACGAAGTGCGCAGGAGCAAAGCCAATTTTCCAAGCTTTTGATTCCCCCCTAAAACGGTACCCCGAATCATCAACCAGGGTCTGTCGTGGGTTCCTCCACATGCAACTGCCCACCTTTGGACCAAGGCCCAAAATCCGAGAGTCCGAACTGGAAGCGCTTGCAGTGCACACCTTCTTGCCAAGTGGGTGGTTCTCGTCTTTCTTGAGGGAGCCCCCTTGTTTGTTGGGCAACCAAGAGCTCCCTCAAAAGATTTGGTTTCCCACTTGGTTTCCCACTAGCTCTGGTTTGTTGGTGGAGCCCTTTTTTTGGGGGTCTTGTAGGGAAACCAGGACGCCTACCTCTCTTGGGCGGGGGGTCCGATTCCCACTTCGCTGGTTTTCATGGCCACTTGGGGTCTGGCCCATGGCCAAAGGCGTGCTTTTGAACTTTCGAAGGGGGTTGGCTGCATTTGGCCCTTCGACCGGGGAACAAAGAGATTTGGGTCAAAACCGAACAGAGACCGTGCAAACGACTTTTTTTGTTTGGGTCAAAAACAGAGGCCATGCAAATTCGGAGGCTTTTTAGTGGTCTTCCTTCCATTTAGTTACTAGGGCAAGCCATTTTGAAAATTGTACCTAGTGTTGACCCACACCTGAAACAAGTTGGTTTGGGGCTCCAAGCCGGGGCCTGGTTCAACGGGCCAGATTCGTCTTCCGTTGAGGGACATCCACAGGACGCATGGGCACGGAAGCCTCTGAGCGAAAGCGCAAAGCCATGCTGCCGACAATGACTGACGTTCGCACTAACATGGTTGTTCAGGGCTCCTTAAAAGATACATTTTGCCAATTTGAAACATGGTTTTTTCCACCAAAATATATGGACACCACCATTTACAAGGCAATGTTGAGGTGTATAATGTAAGGATCCCTGTTGTTGTTGGGAAGCATAAAACAAAGGCATTTTGGCTTATTGTGGTTTAGAGGTTGAACTCCAACCACTTAACTGCTAAACTTTGAACACTTTTGCTCCCCTTCCAACGTCAACCCAACTATGATCAGACGACATCCCGCCTTTGGTATTATATAGAGGGGTGGAGGCCGCTGGTCGCCTCCCGTGTCCTTCTTCAGTACTTTTTTTTTGCAGACGGGCCATTGGCATACTTTGCGATCATCTCAATTTCTGTCCATGTCCCCGTGCTGCGTTCAGATACTTACCTCTTAAAAACACAACTTTTCAACTTTTTGGGTAACATGGGCTATATGTCTGTAAGAGATTCACTTTTCCAGGGCTTGGAGTTTTAAGGGGTAAGGATAGCACGTTTTGCTGCTCCGGGAGTTGCCAGTTTTCAGAAATCCGGCGACGGGCGGAAATTTCCGCGAGAAGCCCAGGCCCTGCCGATTTTTCGCCGAAGGTCATTGTCTGAAGGCGTGGGTTCTGGGGCGGGACGCGTTGTAGGACCTTTCAACGCCATGATTGAGGAACTCGGGGCATTTGTTCATGTTTGAGGTGGCAAGCAAGGGTTTCATTTGAGCATGGCTGGCAGATGGCGCCTCTTTGATTTCATCGGCTTACGTTGACTCTTGGCGATGCTTCTTTTTGCCGAAGCTCCATGTTTTCCGGGCACCCGGCCAGTGGTGTAGTTGAGTCGCCAGTGCTTCCACATTTGCCAAAATGGTGTTGACAACCGTCGCGTGCTCATTCTGGGGCCTTATACAGAAGGCCCCAACTGATCCAGGAACGGGTTTCAAAGGGGAGCCGAGACCTATTGGCCCAATTGTCTCCTATGGGCATCCCCCCTCCCCCCGCGTCCAACACAGGGGACTGTTCCTGTTAGCAACTGGTCACATTCAGGAGCTCAGGCTTCAGGCTTGGGCCGATAAAAGGTGGGCGCCAAAAAGAAGACAGACGATCTCAAAGGCGATCTCGCGCAAAGGCGCCTGCTCACTCTGCTCATATCTCGCTGGGCGAATATAGAGGTCAAAGAGTCTGTTTATCGCCACGGCAGTGCACTGCTATGCATTGTGCTTGTTGAGATGATGATCGAAGCAGAATATGGTTTCGGAGTGCGATTTGCCTTGGGTTTGGACAAACACATGCACACACACATATATATATATTAATGCATGAAAATAAACAAATATATTACTGAATGAATGAATAAAACAATGAAACCAATATATATACATATATATACACATATACATATATACATATATACACATATATATATATATATCATGTTGGAACATGCCGAACTCACACCGAGGTCTGTTGCACAGCTATTGTACATGGATTGTTGCACACCCTTTGAGAAAGTGACTGAGAAGTAAATGTGTGAATCGCTTGTCTTGCCGTACTACCAGCACCTCATGTTTGCCCGAGGCACTACAGTGCCAGAGGAAGCTGTGTTTACGATCCCTACTCTGTTCGGGTCTGCCCTGAAACCCTTTGCCCCTGCTGAGGTTTTCTGAGATCTGGGATCTGCATGGCCTTGTCGCATTGTTCATGTGGCTGCAAAAAGAACATAGTTGTCTTTTCCTTTTCTGCCGGATAATTACTTGGGTGTTCACGCCGCGATCGCTGCAAGAACATAGTTTTTGTTTTTGTTTGTTTCTTCCGGATTTGGAGAATTACTTGGGCTTTCACGCCGCGATCCCTTCACGCCGCACGCGAATTCTCGGCCCGATTCGCCAGGGGGAGAACTGCGAGTTCTCGCACGAGGTGCCCAGTATCTCCATGGGCAGAGGCGGCACCATCTACGCCAACGCACCCATCAGGGTGAAGGCGGGAGTTTTTCAGAAGCCGCCGAAGTTGCGCCAGGCCAAAGGCCGAAAAGCCCTCCTTCCAAGCAACAAGTTTCCCGGTTTTTTGCCTGTGGTCCTTTTGTCGCCTTTTCTTGGCACCTTTCTTTGGAGAGGCCAAAGTGCACGGAGTCGTTTAGAACGCGGTGCGTTCGGTTGCATTGAAAGTCGCGCCCCTACGCGGTGCAGGTCGAACCTGGCCGCTGGGCTGCACATGACTTGTGAGGTGCTGTCTTGGATTGTGTGCTAAATAGCCCATACATCTTACCCAAAATAAAGCTAAAATGGAATGGTGGGGTGGGGGAGGCGGCAAAAAGATGTGTTTGCTTGCACGGCGAACATATATTCAAGACGTATTTTTCCAGAGGGGGCAACCGCCAAGGCTTGACTATGTGCCCGTGTCGTGCTTGAGATTTCTGGGGTTTTACCCCGTTCCATAGGTTTTTTTTTGCTCATAAGATGGCAGTAATTACTGTGGATGGAGGCCCATGGTTGAAACAATTGCTGGTATTTACAGAAGAATCATCAGAAACCAGGGTTTCTTAGGTGCTGCGAAATGGATTTCATCCATCGTGGGGTGTCGGGTCCCAGTGTCCCAGTTCAGGGCCTTCTCCGCTCTGATTCAGACTGAGGAGTGCAGTCGCTACCCGCCCCGAAGTTCAAGACGCAGATCTGCAAATATTTCCTGGAGGCCGGGGCTCTAGTCCCCTCAAAAAACCCAGCCCCCCGAGAGGTTCTGGGTTCTTGGCGAAGCAATTGGCCTTGGGTCAGTTGCGTGCCCCAGGGTTGGTTGCGAAGCATGGTTGAAACGAGATTTGGGTGCTGCAAGATCCATGTTGAGTGGGAAGCTATCTTTCTGGGCTCGTTGGCAACTTACACAGGGCTCCTTAAAAGAAATTCATTTTGCAACCATTTGAAACATGTTGCTTTTTCCACCAACATAAAGGGACACCACCATTGACAAGGCAATGTTCAGGTGTATAATGTAAGGATCCCTGTTGCAATTTCAAGCAAGCAATTTGTTTTTGGCCATCATGATACTGCGGATGGACGACATCCTGCACCACGTTGAAACCATGGGACACCGGTTTTTGTTGGTATTTGCAGGGGAATTATCATAAACCAGGGTTTCTTAGGTGGTGCCTAAGAGGATTTCGCGCCCATCCGCAGAAGCACATAGACAAAAATATTGGTCCATTTCATGGATGCGACTCCGCCGGCTCCAGTCGAGTACTCCTTGGCATTCCTCGGCATTGCTCGGACAGGTTTTATGCAAGAGCCTGCTCGCCTGCCAGTAAAGGCATTGCCTGCCGCCTTTTTATTGGTGGCTGATCGGGCTTGAAGCTTGAATCATCTAACTCAACTACGCGAGCGAACTGCCAAGAGCTGGAAGTGACACTCTCGGGCTGGTGTGATTGCCTTTGTTGCAATATGAGCATGAACATCGGGGGATTCAGCTGAGGGGACTGTCCCTTCCAGGGATTTGGAGACCATCTCGAGCTTTTGTAGGATCTTTTGTTTGTTTTCCTGTCAGGTCCTGTCCAGATTGCAAAGGAACGGCAGGAAGAATGCTGCTTGCATGATTGGGGGGGTGTCCTTTGGGAGTTAGACTCGGCTTGCCGAATTTGTCAGCTTTAGACTGATTCGACCAGTTGTGGCACTCCATCTCCCTTTTGGTTGCTTCCCCACCAAACATGGTGTGTTTTTGTGTGTGTCTGTTTTAGGGGACCCCCAAAACGCATGACTTTTCCTCTTGTTTTCCCTTGAAAGCCAAGAAAAGAAAGGGTATCCTCAAAAACAAACACATACACATTCACACACCCACACCCACACCCACACGCACACGCACACACGCGCACACGCGCGCGTCCGCGAGGGGAGCTGCTTCAAGGGGGACGAGTGCAGCTATGCCCACGGAGCAGAGCAGCTGCAAGCCCCCGGGCCCGGCGCAGGCCGATCCTGGGCCTTGTTGGGCGAACTCGTCCCGAGGTCCGTTTCGGACTGGAGCGTCACTTTCGGAGTTTGGAGTTGCCTTGGCAAAGGCAAAGAGTTGGTGCTTTGTTTGGCCCATCCACTCAGGAAGTGAGTGGGGGAATGATGGTTTTCCTTTGGTTCCTCTTGAAAAGGCAACTTTTCAGAATGGTTGGACCCCCGAAAATTGTGGTGTTCCTTTGGTTTTCCCTTTGAAACAACCACACAACAGGTACCCTCAAAGAAAGACACAACGAGCCAGCAAAAGCAGGGCAATTAGATGGAGGTTGGGGTCGGTCCCGGCCTTCCTTAGATTGTCATCTGTATGGCCTTTCTATACCCGTTTTGTGTCCACAATGCAAGCGGCTACTTGATGGATCTAACGTGTGTTGCAGGGGAGTGGTTGACGGTCGGGGTATGCCTGGCTGGTTTGACACCGGCGGCATTGGTTTGGCGGGAGCTTGATGGTTTGAAAGGTTGACGGACGGCGTACTTGTCGTGTAAGGATTTTCCTATTACACCCTGGGAGTACACCCTACAAAAATACCCCACTGAATCCCAAATAAACCCAAATCACTAGGTTTTTATCTGGAAATAGGCCGGAGTGATCCCCCTAGCGTCATCCCAGGGTGTAAAATTAGGATGTTTCTGGATTTGGTGAGTGTTTGGCAAGGCCTTCCAGCAGAGTCCAGCTTCAAGACGAAGATGTGTCTCTACCACCTGCAGGCCGGGTCCACAGGAGCTCATCCTGGCCTTTTTTGCTGTCAGGACTCTTTCTCTTCAGAATATGTTGGTGGTTTGGATTGGTGGTTTGGGGATTTGAACGCCTGGCTTGTGTAGAGTGTAGAGGGTACATGGGAAACCCTTCCCGAAGCACGACACCACCAATCCAAACCACCAATTCGAGGCAAGCTGACAGAATATGGCCTCCAGTGACAAGTCCGCCAGTCCCCGAGGTTTGCAAACATGAGAGTGTGTTCGTAGCAAACAGGCAAGGCATACTTTGCACGGATCGAGTCTTGCGACAGGCGAATCCCCTGCTTCGTTTTCGGATGTGGAAGTCTAGAAACCCACCATTTTTGGGGGTCCCCTAAAAAGACTCATCAAGTGGAGATTGTGAAGGAGTGCGCTTCCAAGTGCAACGGGCAATGGGCAGATTGCGCGAAACATACTTGGAACGTCTATTCAGGCTGTCCAATTCGAGGCATACTCACGCAGTCTACTCACGCGGGCCACTGCCACCGCCGCCACAGCCTCCGCCGTCACAGCCACTGCCACCACCGCAGCGACAGCCAGTTTCCTGCTTTTTGCTTTAGTTTCAGCTACTCACCGGCCTGACGCACAGCACTTTTTTCAGTGCGCTCAACATTCACCAAGCATCCTTTGGCAGCTGTGCCCTTTTCTGATCGCCTTGTTCTTATGCAGGGCGCGAAAGGGCTCCTGCAGCTACATGTCGCATGTCTTCCTGGAACCTCTTGAGCCAATCCCGGAGACTGGCACACCCCCTTTCTGGGCAAGGCAGGTGTCACTCCGACTCTCAGGGGGGTCTCTGCCCTGTTCTTTTAGGTCAGTGCAAGCAGATAGATTTCACTGGTCCCAGTTGGATCCTTTCCTATTTCTGCCCTCCATTTTTGAGGGTTCCCATGAGCATCTTGGAGCCATTTCCCAGCCACAGGCTTTCACATGGCTTGAAAGCCAAGGGACTCAGGACCGGCTGGCTCGCGCTCAGGGCGCTCGGCTCTTGCTGTCTTGCGCTCAGGGCACCTGCTTCAAAGGCGAGGCCTGCACCTACGCCCATTCCGAGGAGGAGCTTTCAGGCGCCGTTGGCTCGAAGCCCATCTTTTGCGGTGACTCGACGCAAGGTCCCCCAGCAATTGGTGCCCTTTTTACCAACATTTTTGGGTGGGAGGGGTCCCCCACTAACATAGACTACAGAGAAAAAAAACAGGTTGGTACCCTTATTCCAACCTCTCCACTGGACCTGTGTGTTTTGTGGTTCTGATGTCTATTTTTGGAGAACCATCTTGGAGTCCACGAGACTTTACGTGGCTTTGTTCGGGGTCACGAGGCCGTGCGGCTTCATGGGCCGTTTGCCAGGTTTGCCCGGTGGTAAAAGCACCCGGGTGAGCCCAGTGGCGCGTTGCGCGGTTTTTCAGCAGCGGGAGGTCCACAGCTGCCACTGATGGCAGCCGATGAACGAATCCTATGCCTAAGCCTCCAGATCGTCATCGCCGGAGTGTTGTTTAGAAGGCAAGTTGGTTTGCTTTCCCGGTGAGTTTGATGTGCCTTGTCAGTGCTCGACATGTGGACTTCGAAGAACTTGGCCTTTTTTTTGGTCGGATCTTTGAGCTTCAACATTTTCCGTTTTACCGGCACAACGTCGAACATTTTTGGCGCAGGGGTCACCAAGCTGAGGGTTCAGCATAGTTGCGGGGCGAGTTGCAAAAGCCGCAGGTGCCGCGGAGTCGAACTTCAAGACGAAGATGTGCCTCTGGCACTTGCAGGCGGCGGGGTCCGAGAGGGGAACATGCTACAGCTGCCAGGTCCCCCAGCTAGGTGCCAACTCGAGTTTCTTTTTTGGTTGGGAGGGTTCCCCTACTAAGATAGACTAGAGAAACAAGTTGGTTGGTCCCTTATTCTAATCTCTCTACTGGAAGACCTAGTCTGGCAATGAACATGAGGAGTACCCTCTGGCAGGACGTAAATCCCCCATGATGTGTACCAATTCGGAGCCCCCCCAGAGCTGCGCCGTCGACAGAGAGGTTAGAACGTGCGTTTTTCAGTTCTTCCTCGTTTGTTTGGCTGCGGTTGTCGGTGAATTTGCGACAGATCCGTCCAAAGATCGGGATGCCTTCCAAAGGCGTCGAGCCCAGAGGGGGGCGCGGTGATCAACCATTGCAGTATTCTAGAAAGGGGCCACCATCTCCCACACTCATTGCCAATTGGCAAGGCGGGGTGGGGTGTCCCTGTTAAGGGATGTTTCCAACGAAAATCCGCGGAAGACTCGGATGCGCCAGGGCCAGTGCGTGAGAGGAGATGCCTGTACCTTTGCCCACGACGAGAGTGAACTCATGGAGCCAGGCGAGGTCCCTAAGATGGGCGGTTCCCTTCCATTTGCTGAATGCTTTTCTATTTTCCGCTGTTGGTTTTAGAAGGAATCTACCACTACTGGAAATATGTGTACTTTTTCCAGCAGACTTAAGCAAACGCAAAATGTCCTTTGGTTTCCCTTCAAGGAGTTGTGGCGACGTCGGGCCCAGAATCGAAGGAGCAAAATCAGAAGAAGATTAGGGCACGAATAGGCGCGAAAAGCTGCATTTTGATGGGTTTGGTAGACTTCTGTACTGCCAGGTCGTGACATTGCAATGACCGTTGAGGTAGAATGGCAGGTTCCGCCCTCGAAGTGTCTGTCTGGTTTGCTGAAAACATCCTCACGGCGCACAAAACCAAACTCGGGGCTGTGTCGAATTCGTCCTTGGGACCGCTGGCGGT